CACACACACGCACACCCACTTGGATGAGCCATTCCTTTGGAGGATATGGAGCGAGTTTAACGTTGAAGGTGTCCACGTGAATGCCCAATTGACCGTTCACAGCAGAAGCTGTAAGTCAAAAGCGCCTTTTCATCGTGCAGAGGGGCAGAGCTTCGGGTGAGCGTCGGCCACCTCTGTCACCCTTCCCGGCGTCCAATCGAGCCGACGACGTCCTCCTCCGCGCGGCACAGGAGATGCAGTCTCGAGCCCAGCACCACCACGGTCACCCAGGAACGCGCCCGATGTTCGGCGGCTCTTAGACGCTAAGCAGACGTTGAGCGCGCACAGCGCTTGGATGGGCCCGCCCGCCTGCTCGACCGCCGGCCGCCGGGCACAAAGACGTCGCGGCGGATGCTTGTGTTGCAACGTACGGTGCGAAGGAAGTTCATCATACATCCATCGGTAGCGTAATTACTACATTATCAGTTCAGGGGGTGCGTAAATCGATCCGGTGATGCCCCGATACTGTTGAAAACAAACCTCATGGTGGTTGTCAAGGGGGCCCCAACTCGTAGCTTTGACCACCAGGGGGGAGGGGGGGGGGCAAGGCACCCCCTGCCCCCACGCTAGTCACGCTACTGACATACATGCACACATACGTGTGTGGTGTTCAGTCGTGGGCATGCAGTGCAGCGAAAATCGATTGCCGTTACCATACTTGTACGCTCCCACTTCAAAGCTCCCCGTCCGCCTTCTGAACCGGCGCGCACCATCCTAACAACCGGCTCGAGATACACGTGGTGTGTTGAGACACTCATCCAGCAGTGGATTTATACAAGTTTACGAGCAAATAGCCCGAGGAGCGCACACCACCCGTGAGAGTACACCCACTGCTGCTGCTGTAGCTGCTGCTGCTGTAGCTGCTGCTGCTATAGCTGCTGCTGTAGCTGCTGTTGTAGCTGCTGCTGTAGCTGCTGCTGCTGTAGCTGCTGCTGCTGTAGCTGTCACGTGGGCCCCCTACACGCGCGATGACGCGTCTGTCCGGAATATCGTGGCACCAACGGCCCCTTCCAGGTGTCATCCCACGAGACCTTTCGTCGGATTACGGCATTTTGGAGAAATCCCGTGACTGGTGCAGACGCTGTCGTCTTATCTCGGGACGTGTTTTGACGCCGGGGCGAGTTGTGTGGGGGGGGGGGAGAGAGGATTATAGGTGGGGCCCCCTTTTATTTTTGTGGGCCATCGGACCCTGAATGGGAAACCCTAAGCCCGGCGTTGTGGTGACGGATCGGTGAATCGCGCCCGAGTGCTACGGCTCATCCCTTGTGCGCTGCCACTTCCCGTGAAGGCTTTAGAGCTGCCCACGGTGGCCACGACACATCACCGGTCTTCCCTGGCGCTTTGTCCAAGAACTTTACCGTAAACAACACTCGCGGAATCCCATGTTTACGGCACAAATAACGAAGAATGGAAAGTTTAAGTGTTGTTTTTGTTTTATTAGAACGGGACGATGCGTGGTGCTTGTCTTCCCAGTGGCTGTGATTCGTTAAGAAATATATATATTTTAAAGGACTCTAAAAACATGTTTTTGTAATAGTGTTTTTGCTATGGTGCAATTTGGAGGTTGCTGGTTCGATGCAATCTCCCGCCGTGGCATTTGAAACAAGTTTCAAATTTCTTGAATATCGCCCCCCCCCCCCCCCCCCCCCCCCACTTCTCTGTATGTCCACAGCAGTACGCATAGGTAAACCACAGCCAGTCAACTTGCAGGTTGAGTGTTGTGGGGCAAAATGTGGGTACTCCCATCTCTTCCAAGACATCTGCCCAGCGTGGAAGAGTAGGCCAAAAATACCCTCTTCTATAGAGTCATAGCGATGTGAAGGAAGGCCCTTCCGCCCGGCAGTGGCATAAGCAGGCAACTTGCAGGGCTGCGCTTTTTCCCTCGTCTATTTTAATAGCTCGGTGTTGCACGGCCGCCGTTGCGGGTTACATTTATGTCGTGACAGTTTTTGTCCACGTATTTTTATTTTTTTCGTGCGGGCTCATTATTTTTTGGCAACGGAAAAAAAATCCATCGCGTTCGCAGACCGATTATTTTGCAACGAAAGTTCACCAAGACATTATCCGTCGTCCGTATTTCGTGCTGATTTATGACGGGAAGTTTTACGGTTCTTACCAACTTTTGTAAAAATTGCGCGGCGCGGAAACTTGAAAGTAGGACCGGAGGAGAATGTTGGTCCATGAAGAACCCGCTGGCATTGTTGTACTGCACTTACTATGCTTCCACATACATGATAACGATTAGCACATTCGGCATTGCCTCTGCTCTTAAAGCACGCAGACTTTGAGATTTCCTATCGCGGTGTGGGGAGGTCCTCATCCAGCAGTGGATAAACCAAAAAAGGACCATACGAAGACCAAGACTTGTGAATAAATCGCAAGAATTTCGATTTAAGGCTTTCGTGACTGCAGGGATTGATATTCTTGGTTCTTTCGGTAAAGTCACGTAGAAGGGAAACAATAAAATACTAAAAATATAAAACAATACAATTCTCACGAAGTTGCTGTGTTTTTCACCCCTGATGACGATTACTTGTGTTGCAGTCGAAACGTCGTGAGAATTGTATTGTTTTATATTTTTATAATTTTATTGTTTCCCTTCTACTTGCCTTTAGCGAAAGAACCAAGAATATGAATCGCGAGAAATGAACGATCACTGTAGTCCCCTATCCCCACCCACCCCTCATCATGACTCCGAGTCTCTCTCACGGTGTCTCTTTTAGCTGTGAACTATCCAGCCGTGGATTGAAAGGTCCATGTCATCCTCATGTCCCATGGCCTTGTTGACATATACGGCAGTAGCGAAGGCGCAGGGCTGCAATTTCTTGCCGTGCCACTGCTGGTGGAATGATCTCCACTAGATGGGAGCCATAGAGAGCTACTGTAGAGGATTTTTTTTGTTTCTCTTTCTCTCCCTATTCCTCCTCGTTGCACAGACGTCTTGCAAGAGGTTGGGGAGTGCCCGCACTTTACCCCACCGCACACGTGACCTGCCGATCAACTCGCAGTGGTGAAGCCAGTTCTGCTGCTGGGTGGACAGACTCGTGTGGTCAGGGGTGGGTGAGGGCCCCAATTAAGAAACGTGCTCTATTATTCTAGCCGCCGCACCAGGACATCACAACATTTATCGACAATATATAACAGTTGAAAGAAATAGACGTGTCTTTTGTGAACAGTATTTATAAAGGACTGTTTGTCTTTAGCCCCTTTATTTTAAGAGTTGTATCCCAATATGGCATGTTACCCGGCAACTTTGGTGATTTTGTTTATAGCACTAATGCTGAAGGTTTATGGGGATGCAGACATGCTGAATGTGTGTGTGTGTGCACGCCTGTTGTGTCCGTGAACATTTGTCGGGAGTGGTGGCGCCGCGGTTAGGGTGCTGCGCTGCGAATCCGACGACCCGAGTTCGATTCCGGCTCATGGCCACCAACACGAGTGATGGTTATGCGATCCGGTCCTAGGCCTCCCCTAGGTCGATTCAGCCTCAAATGAAGAACCTGGTGCGGTGTGTAAACATCGCCACTGGGGAGACAAAGGCGCCCTGGCGCCTCGTGTGCCGTGCCAGCCTTCATAGGTGCGCGCTAACAGCACTTGCCCCTCAAGTCTGCCAACGCTATACGGGGGCTCTTTACCTTTGTTGAGTGTGGTTGAACATTGGGAAAAAAATTAATAGTGGACACGGGGTTCCCCATCCTCCTCGTGTGAACACCGATATCGACCATGACAACGACGACAATGAATTTATTTTTTCTCTGCCCTTTATTTACACTTTTGTATGCGCGTGTGCACGTGCGAGCACGTTTGTGCGTACGTGTGTGTTTGACCCACTGATGACGACGATGGCGGTGGCGATTATGAATACTCCTCTCCGTGTCTGGATGGGCTAGAAAATGTGAAGAATAGAAGTGGCCATCCTCCTCTTCCCCGTCATCCTCCCTCTCGCCCTCTTCCTTGTCCCCCTCATCCTCTTCAACCACCTCGTTCTCCTCCGCGTCACCCCCCCCCTCTCGTCATCCTCATCATCATAATAATACAAGTTTGTACGTGTGCGGGAGACGCAATCTTCCTCGACCACCTCATCCTCGGCCAGCATCTTCGCGCGCAGCTCGTGACGATGATCCTCGTTCCCCCGGCTGCTTTAAGAGCCGAGAGCGGCGTGCGCGTGCGTGCGCGCGCGTGCGCGTGCGGCTTTAATGGTTGGGGGCCTGCGGCCTGCCGAGGCGCCGGAGATCCCCATGAAAGGGCCCTGCCAGTGGTCGCGTTAACGCCCGCTCGTAAAGGCCGCCAGCCGGGGGCCACTTTCATGTCGATGCCCTCTTGCGCCACCGACATAAAACCTTGTCGACGAAGCACCGAAGATGCAATAAACAATCTCCGCTCAGCTGACTTTCTCGCCTCTCCCCCCTCCCCCCTCGTCGCCCCCCCTCCCCTCCCCCGCGTGTTCGCAAGGGTGTAATGATCACCTCCCCCTACCCCACGCGATCTCACGTGGACGTCAGGGGAACGTTGGAGGGAGTTTTGTATGTTGTTGAAAGAATAGAAATTCGTGGATGTGTCGATTTGCCACGATCCGCGCAGAAAAAAACTAAATCTCTGGGTTTGATCTTCCCACCCTAAATCGCGTCTGTCGCACAAACCGTGGCTACAGATGCGGTGATACCTGATGATGCACAAATGGAAGATTAAAAACAAACTCTCCGGTAATAGCGTGGCGACTGCGGTCATCCAGCAACGGGCCGTGCATCGTTTAACGCCGCAATGGCCCCGATCCACAAATACGGAGGAGACACGCAACTACATCAGCCGTACGCAGTAAGCAGAATAAGAGGCACGTGTTTCATAACCCGAGTTTGTTGTTGTTGTTGTTCTCGTCGTTAAGTGTTGCGACTCAGGGTTACTTTTGTTGTTGCTGTTGTTGTTGTTTGTTGATTGGTGGTTTCTGTTGTTTGTTGTTGCAGATTTCAAATTCAGCGTGGCAAAAATGACCCGAACAGCTACAAAAGTCTGGCGGATTGTTTCCGGACAATGTATCGCAAAGAGGGGTATGTCTTGCCGTTGTTTTTATTGTTGTTGTTGTTGTTGTAAGTCAAATAGGTCGTCCCCATATTACATTTCCCTTACCTGTAAGCACGTCCCATATCGCCTCCTCCGCCCTGGAGAAATTAATATGTTGGCTGTCACGCAAAGGTTGACACAAGCAAAGCAACATGTGCGTATTGAGACGGGTCAAGAGGACGGGGTCAGGTTTCTGCTTGTTCTGTCACTCCCCCCTCCCTACCTCCCCACCCCACCCCCACGTCCTCCCAGCCCCCCCCCACCCCCCTGGCACACACAATGCCAGCCAGTGCTGAGGCTGAACTCCTGTTGCCATGCTCACGACGTCAATCGGCACCGAGGCAATAGTTGCCCATTGCCCAGGTTGCATAGGCGGCAAGCAGGCTGACGGATTGCAAAATTAAAACCGCTTACCTTTGACATTAGTACTTTTTCGCCCGATGGAAAATGAATCTTAATATTCGAGCGGTACAAATGCATCGTCATTCGCTCATTCCCGTCTCTCGCTCTCTCTCTCTGTCACCGTCGGTTTGTGTGTGTGTGTGTGCGTCTCTCTCTCTCTCGCCTTTTAATTTATTTCCTCCTTCAGTAAAAAGAAATGCTTTTTTTTAATAATGGGCATCAAGTGGTTATGCGTTGGCTCGACTCCTAAAGAGCCACTTGTGAAGTAATGACGAGGTGATTTTATGGCAGTCTACCTTGTTTGTGTGATTATGGTAATTGTTACAGACCTTGTGGCCGAGCATTTCCCCACAGCACCGGGCCCCGACCGCAGTGGGGGTATTGCCAAGCCCTTGAGCGCAGTAATCCATGCTAATCAGCTGCAAGTGTACTTAACGGCGCGCTGGATCGATAGCCCTTTACGAAATAAATAAATAAGGGAAGGAAACGGCTTTGTGGCCGCATTAGCTCATGTGGACACGCGGCATGTGGGCCTCGGCTAAATTGTGTACACACAGTTAGCCCTAACCTCCTGAGTTATCGTTCACACTGTTTTGTACTTTCCAACTGTGAACGGTTTAATTCACAACAACCAAAAAAAAAAAGCCCGTGACCCCCTTGAGTTGTGTTTTTTTTTCGGGTTCTCTCTCTCGTCGTCTGTGTGTGTGTGTGAATGTCCATCGTGGAGAATGAGACAAGTGTGTGTGTGTGTGTCTCTGATCTATGTTCAAACGATATGGTTCGCGCTTCGTGCGGTACCATATATGGCGTGTTTGTCAGCTGGGCCTGTATGTATGTATGCACCTTGAACTTGTTTCACACCGTGCGTAGGCCAACCGCGCTAATCGGGTGAAGGACAACAAACGAAACACACAAAGCAGCTGTAAAGAAATTAGTTTTAAATGTGAATTCGGGTATTCGTATCTGGTGTGGGGTGCGCTTAGGTTGACTTGGCCTAAAATAAGCGTCGGATTATATTGAGTAGCATGAAATAACAACGACGACGACACGCTCAATTCAAGACGTTAGCCGTGAATTAATGACGCTGGCCCCATCACCACCACGTCGTAAGTTGCCTGCCCTTAATAGGTGCTCGCAGACGTGGCCGTACCTGTCAATGGCGTGTGCTGTTTGTGTGAGTATCACCACCGCCCACCACCACCACCACCACCCCCGCTGATGTCTTGTTCCCATTAGGCCGCACTGCAGTGGCCACGAAACATCTTGTGAGCAGCGAGCATAATGTGACAACGTCAACGCACCGCTGCCGTGCGCCGTGTCCCGTTGTGTCTGCTCAATGAGTCACCCGATTCAAGCGGCGCGAGTTCGTTGATTTACTCTGCGTCACCATGCATCGATGTATTTAGTGCCTGACATCTATTCTTACGCTCGTGATCCGAACGGCGTCCGTCAGTGGACCCCGTTCGGATTACGACTCGCCAGCGGATGTTAGCCGTGGGCGGGAAGCGAACTCCGCTGGTTGGCTTCAGATCGCAGTGCGCTAACCACCGCGCCACCGCTCCTCCCATCGACGAATAAAGACGGTGTCGGTGAATTCATGAGCTTCCTAAATGCATTTGAATGGAGTTTTTTTATTGTAATTTACTCGCACAAAGTAAGTTAATGTGAAACCAAAAGACAAACAAAGGAGTGGGCAGCCAAGGGAGGCACAGAAGGCGTCGCGTTAGCGGAGACGGAGCGACGCAGTCAGCCTGTTTGCATGAACCACATTGATCTTCCATTGCATCGCAGTGCAATAAAAAACAAAGATTTACGACCGCTTGCGGAGGCCTTCATCCAGCGGTGGATTAACCATGACCGGTGATGATGACCGATTACATTTTGTTTTTAAATGCTCGACCCCCCCCCCTTCCCCCCTCCCCCCCCCGGTTGCTCTTCAACTCAAGCCCGGCATATTCGGTGCCTATCACTGACGCATTCGCGTTGCCCGCGTGCTATGTTAAACTTGCGTGGCGATGTGTATTCTCTCATATTTGCTTTAGAATCGCTGCACAGGGTGCGTTGGTTCGCCGTCCCCCCCCGTTGTTGTTGATGTTTTGTACCGAGGTGGCATGAAGAACGCGCAGCTTCCAAGCAGTAGCGAGACACGCCGAGGAGGAGGAGGCCTCGTTTGACACTTGAAGTCGTCGTTAACTGCTTTTCATATTTGTAAAAAAGAAAGGACTTGACCAGTATGTTGTCTTCTGTGTGGGTTTTTGTCTCGCCCCCCACCCCCGCCATCCCTGTGTCGGATGGTATGTTTGCACTCTTGATGTTTTATTGCAAATCAGGCCGCTGTCCTTCTACAAGGGGATACTGCCGCCCGTTTTAGCCGAGACACCAAAGCGAGCGGTCAAGGTACGAAAAAAAACTAAACGCGTCTCGCGATATTTCACTCCGCCGTGAATTAAAGGAGATCTGCATCGCATCATGCCTTTTTAAAATACATATTTGATTTCAAAGCCGTTTGTTTTGATATGGGGAGCGGAATGTGCGTGCGCGCGCGACTGTTTGGTTGTGCCCGCGATGCCGCGTGAAATTGCTTAATTCAGTTCACTCTTCAACAGGGCCGACCCACTTGCTGTCATCACCACAAACACACCGTCGCAGCTTCAGCCATTCCACCCACGATTCAAACAGGTGTCATCCGCCACGCGTCCGACGTTTCGCTCCACGCGTGGATAGCTTCTTCACGAACTGAATCGACTGAATTCACCTAATTCGGTTCCTGGAGAAGCTCGCAGCGCAAAACGTCGGACAACGTGCGGCAGAACATGAGAAACGTGAAAACCGACACGGTAGCTTCATTCGTCGATACATTTCACTCGCCTGTACACCCTCAGGGCTCAAACAAAACAAACGACGGCCAAATCTTGACTTAAAGCTTTCGTGATTGCAGGAATTCATATTCCTGGGTCTTTCGGTAAAGTTACGTAGATAGGTTCGAAGAAAATTACAAAAAAAACTACGACGTTTCGATCGCAACACAAGCGTCGTAATTTTTTTGTTATTTTTTGTTATTTTTCTTTGAACCTATCTACGTGACTTTACCGAAAGGCCCAATAATCTAAACGACGACCACTTGCTCTTCAAATGTGCAGTTGTGCAAGGGTGCCGCCACCTCTGACCACGTGATACGCCTGCCATCCAGGAGCCACATCCGGAGACATTTGTTTAAACACGCTCACAAGCAGCGGGATTACGAGGATCATCCCCCACATCCACCGCGATATTTGCGCCAAAAAAGTGACACCCGGTGCACGTTGCAACATTCTGAAAAAAACATTGTTTGTGATGCTGCGTCGGCAGTGGTACGCAAGCACAAATTACAAATAAAATCAATTACACTGCGGTAAAAGAAAAGACGTATAAAATAGGCGACATTCCGGCCTTCTTTACAAGATGAAGGCCCATTGCCCGCAACGTCAGCCGTCATGTTTAGACGTTGCCCTTGTCATGGCAGCGAGTCTGTCACGAATGCGTCGAGTTTATTGATGCGCGTTACAGAATTACGGATGCGCCTCTCTTTCTCTCACTGGAACGCCCTGGCGCGTTGACGCGGAGCGGTGGCGCAGTGGTTAGCGCACTGCGTTGCGAGCCTGCCCGCCCGCCCGCCCGCCCACCCGAGTTCGATTCCCGCTCACGGCCAACACCGGTGACGGATATCTGAACCGGCCCTGGGCCTCCCCTCGGTCGACTCAGCCTCTAAATTTAATTACATTTTTTATCATTTTTATTTTTATTCACTTCATTTTTTATTATTAGTTTCGTATCTACGTGACTTTACCGAAATAACCAAATAATATATGTACTCCTCGTCGCTGGGAAGACAAAGGCGGGCGGGCGTGGTTTTGGCAACCCACCCGCGCCGTGTGCCGTGCCGGCCTTCATAGGACCTCGCTAACAGCACTTGCCCCAACAGTCTGTCAAGGCTATACGGGGCATCTTTGTTGCTGTTGTTGTTGTTGCTGCGTGTGTTTGCACACTGACGATGGCGATGTGCTGGGGAAACCACGAACAGTGGCCACGCGGTTCGTCCATCCTGCAGCACTTGCCCTCGCAGTCTGTTATCGGGCTACACGGGGGACCTTTGGTGGTGCCACGTTAGAGCGGCGGCGTGAAGGGCCCTCGGTTTTGCGTGATTGTGCGGGTAATTTATGCGCACCTTTCAGCCCTCGTTGACATTTCGATGAATTGCGCTTGCCCCCAATGCCCCCCCCCCCCCCCCCCACCACCCCAACCCACTCCTCTTCTCAGTTCTTCACCTTTGAGCAATATAAGAAGCTGCTTAACCTCACTCCTGTCTCCGCGGGGATGGTAAGTGAAGACTCTTCACGTCGCGACTGTTTTTTTTTCTTTCTCTCTCTCTCTCTACCGTTCTTTTTTTTATTGCTGCTGCTGCTGGTCGCAAAGAATGCCGGGAGGGGCCCCGCGACGCGTGAAGTAATTCGCCTGCTGGCGTGTTGCGTCAGCACTTTTCGTGGCCGGTGGCATGCCCACCGATGTCTCACGCAGTGTTCCCTCGTTGTTCGCGAACGTGCCGTCCGCGGTTATATTGGCTATCCGTGAATCGCATCTGGAACTCATCCGCGCGAGAGGGAACGCGTTGAGTTAAAATGATGAGATAAAATATAGGTTTTCCGTCGGCGAATATCATTATCCGCGAAAGATGCTCTTCACGAGCATATAGCAAATAACGAGGGGATACTGTACGTATTGACTCCGGTGTAAGGCATTCATTTTGAAAGGGCAGTAAAGTCGAGCGTTCGTTTGATTATGTCAGAAATTCCACAGTAAATATGGTCGGAGTGGTGGCGCAGTGGTTAGCGCACTGCGTTACGGACCCTGGAGAGTTAAAATTCCCTGCCGCTGCTGACATTGAGTGGCGAGCGATATCCCAACTGGTCCTGGGACCCCCTTCCTACCCTCTCTTGAACACTCAACCAACCCCTCTCTTGGCTCGCGTGGTGACGCATGGTCAAACAACCTCCGTGACTGACGCTATTTTGGCTGCTAGCCATCGAACAAAGTCGGCCACCGCATCGCGCCCTTTCAGATACGCTTCTGCGGCCGTCTGGAACGCTCTTCCTTCCGATATTAGGAAGCCACTGGAGCTATGCACTTCTAAATCCAGACTGAAAACTCATTACTCTATAATAGCGTTTTGTGTATAGTTTGTTGTCCTTCCCCCGCACCTCCGATAAGCACAGTTGGCTACATATGGTGCGAAATAAGTTCAACATGCATACACACTCATCGGGGAAGCCTTAAATCCAGCTGTGGGCTGGTCCTGGACCTCCCCTAGGTCGAATCAGCCTCGAATGAGTACCAAATGCGATGTGTAAACGTCGCCACTGGGGAGACAAAGGAGGCCGGGCGTGGTGCTGGCCACCCACCCCCTCGTGTGCCACAGTGCCGACCTTCATAGGTGCTACTCGCTAACGACGCTTAAGGCTATACGGGGGATCTTTGTCTTGGGAGGGGAGTTAAGAAACATGCCGCTGTGGGAGATCTTATCGGTGACCTCTGGGCTTGCAACTTCTGCAAGTCGAGTGTGCTAACCGCGACGCGACGGTGTGTGCGTGTGTGCGTGCGCTCATCTCAAGGTGTACACGCTCGCCGGGCTGGGCTCGGGTCTCACCGAGGCCATCGTAATCAACCCTTTCGAGGTGGTCAAGGTGAACCTGCAAGCTCAGAGAACGACGTTCACAGAGGTGAGGCAATGGGGACCGCCAAAGGTTGCGCAACTTGCGTTCACCTCTCTGTGTGTGTGTGAGTGTGTGTGAGTGAGTGTGTGTGGCACCTGGAAGGTGCTCGCTAACAGTACTTGCCCCTACAGTCTGTTGAGGCTATATGGGGGATCTTTATCTTTGTGGCACCTGGGTCTGCCCCGTGACTCCTGCCAGCGGGCGTTCGACACTTCACGTGGCCTCAAGGTACACATAGCCTGGCACAAGCGTCTTGGTGACGTCACCGCCACTTAGTGGCGAATGGCGGTTGTTGTTGTGTGAGCGGTTACAGCTACGCTGCACTACGAACCCGGCGACCCGGGTTCAATTCCCGCTCATGGCCAACACCGGTGACGATTATCTGAACCGGTCCTGGGCCTCCCCTAGGTTGACTCAGCCTCAAATGAGTACCTGGTGCGGTGTGTAAATATCGCCACTGGGGAGACAAAGGTGGTCGGGCGTGGTGCTGGCCACCCACTCCCTCGTGTACCGTTGCGGCCTTCATTGGTGCTCGCGAACAGCACTTGCCCCAACAGTCTGTTAAGGCTATACGGGGGATCTTTGTCTCATCACACTGGCCCACAAAGTTGCCTGCCCCCAGCACTGTTGGCTACGTGCGGTGCGTAAGAAGTTCAACATAAACGCATTTTTATCGAATGCAATTTTTGGTTATACTGTACAGTGATTGCCTATGACCACATTTCCCAGAATGCACCGGATATGTTCAAATCTCGAAAGCTAAGCAGGGGTTAAGGCTGGATGGTGCTTGGATGGGCGACCATCATGCCTACAAAAGGTGTCAATAGAGGGCTCTGCAGAAAACAAATAACACAGTAGTTGTACTGTACTGTGCTCCCCAACAGCTATGCTCCCCCATCTTAACCAACAATGCACCGACCAGCATGATGAAGTATGCTCAAAATGAACCGCGCCCCCATGACCCCCACATGGCGTGGAGAGGCCCTCGTCCAGCAGTGGATCGGCGAAAATGTCTGCACGTACAGTCTAATAATAATAATCCAGCAACACATTCAGAGAATACATTGCCACTTGCTGCACAAGCACAGATCAATATATTGCTACGTTCATCAACTCTGCCTTGTAACAAAAATAATATATATATATCATGGGCTGACGTTTTGGGCAATGGGCCTTCTTCAGAGCAGAGAGAGAGAGGAGGGCAGAGAGGTTAACCGAATTGTAGTTGGTGATTGCAAGTTACACTTGGGGACCCTGACAGGGACAGTGTAAGAAAGTTAACAATTGAAAAGGTTTGAATTGACACGTTCTTGAAGTGCCAAACCCTTTTGACTTCTTAAGGGCGTGTTCGCTACTTAATGGTTCAAGAAGTGTCCGTATATCAATTCTGCCACCAGGCAACGTTAGCATCTCGCCACGGTGGCGAGATGTCAACTACCTCGCCTGGTGTACAGGAGGTCACGGGTTCGATCACGACCCTGATGCACGTATATTTGTATGATTCCCTGTGATCGTGTGGATTTTTTGCGGGCCCTCCAATGTTTTCCCTTCACATTTAGAAATGCGCGTTCAGAGTATTTGGCTGCTATACGTTTCGACTTGATAAGCCACTTGAATGAGCCATCATTTGTGGCCAGGTCGCTTCTGAAAAAGAGCTATACAGCTCAGTGGGCCTTACCTGGTAAAATAAAAAAACAGTTAAGTTTGCTATTCTTGGTTCTTTCGATAAAGTCACGTAGAAGGGAAATAATAAAATAATACGTGACTTTACCGAAAGAACCAAGAATATGAATCCCTGCAGTCACGAAAGCTTTAAATCGAAAGCTAAGTTTCCGGTCATAAATGTTACCGAAGAAGTAACGATGAATCGCTTGAACGCGAATGACTCAAATCGTCTGCAATTTTTTCATCGAGTTATCATTTCAGTGGAGTTCTCCCCCCTCCCCCCGTCCCGCGTCTGCGTGCACAGCAACCATCGACGTGGGCGACCGCGAGAGAAATCGTTCGGCGCGACGGGTTTGGGTCGCGAGGCCTCAACAAGGGCTTGACAGCGACCCTAGGCCGACACGGAGTCTTCAACATGATCTACTTTGGCTTCTACCACAACGTCAAGGACATCGTCCCCTGCAGTCAGGTATGTACTCGTGCGCGAGCGTATGAACTTCTTTCGCACCCGTGCGTAGCCAACCGTGGTAATCTGCGGTGCAGGGGGATGGACAACAAACTAAACGCAAAAAAAGTAGATCTAAAGAAGGTCGTTTTCATTTATTTAAAAGGGCATAGCGCCCAATGGCTTCCTAATATCGGAAGGAAGAGCATTCCAGATGGACGTGGAAGCGCATCTGAAAGCATCGCTCCTGCTAACAGGTGACGGCGTCCATTCTTCGATCCGTCTGTTTAAATTGATTTCTTTACTAGGTGGTCAGAGTCAGAAACTTGATTTTAGACTGGAGAAATCAGATGAGCTCAGAGGTGACAGCGCTGAGCTGGCCCTGCAGAGATCAGTGGTTCAAATCCAGGCAGATGAGTTTGATAATATTCAACTGTGGTCCTCAAGTATCGTGAGTAAGATGGTCCTTAGCCTGGTTACCAATAACTGCACACATGCATACACGCACAATCTTGTAACATTACACTTGTATCTTAAACGAATTTGGCTAAGTTCCAGCCTTGAGGAATTGACATGTTAGTTTGACTAGCGTTGCCACTTGAAGGGAAACTGAGACGTAGCTCTGGGATATCCACTTTCGTGAGCCGTCCACTAACATAAGGAGTTGCAATGCTGTTCAATATGCGAATAGATCTTCAATCTCGTTACGTGGCGCCTATTGCACAATTCACAGAAATTGGGAAAACTACCACAACAAATAAACATCTTAATGTAATCGATGTGTTCATCTTTACACTCACGATACATTAATGTGTGGCCAGGTAAAAAAAAATATATTGCCCTCCAGCGCCTGATTAGTGCGGCTAACATGCTCGATGCAGTGACGGATGACCATCATTATTTTTCGGGTCGAAGTGGCAGTAGGTGGGCCCGATGAATTGAAGTCGTGGGCCGCGTCCAGGCCCACCCGTGGGCCTTGGTCCTCTCGACCTCTCGTGGTGTCTGCACAGGCACCGTGGGCGAGACGCTGGGGCCCCCACCTCCACCCGTGTTTTGACAGCGGAGCGTGCAGAGAACAAACCGCGAAATCATCACACACGGGGTCGTGCATTTAGGTAAACACTTGCGCCCGGTGTGTGTGCGCGTGTGTGTGTGGTGACCCGAGTTCGATTCCAGCTCCCGGACAAGTGACGATAATCTCAACTGGTCCTGAGCCTCCCTTAGGTCGACTCAACCTCAAATGGGTAGCCTGGTGAGATGGTGTAAACAGTCTCCTGCTGGGGAGAACACAGACGGCCGGCCTAGTATTGTGCTGGCCACCCACCACCTCGCGTGCTGTGCGGCCTTCATAGGTGCGACTCGCTTGCTGCACTTGCCCCAACAGTCTGTTTACGCTATACGGGAGTATCTTTGTCTTTGTGTGCGAGCGGCCGATTCCGCGAGCAATTCACAGAAAACAAACTAAACTATTTTATTTAGTTTAACACGTAGGTTTGCGCGACCAGTATCATCCAAAATAGAGGAGGTGTTTTGAGTTAGATCGCGTCAATTATAAATGTGTGGTTAAAACCCGCCACCACCCGACACAGCCAACTAGCAAGGGTTGTGACGTAAACAGAACGTGGCCAATTCGTCACTAGTACAGCACATCGGTTGTGTATTGGTGTGCTGTACTAAACTATTTTATATTGTACCAGCTCAGTACCCACAGAGCTATGCAGCTCTTTTTCAGAAGCGACCTGGCCACAAATGATAGCTCAATGAAGTGGCTCACTGTGTGGAAATGCAGAGCAGCTGAACACCCTAAGCGCATGTTTCTAAACGTGCAGGGAAAAACCGGAGGACCCGGAGAAAAATCCACGCCACCACGGAGAGAGAGAGAGACAGACACCAAACTCCAAATATACAGGACGCGTCGGGTTCGAATCCACGACCTCCTGCATACCAGGCGAGGTAGTTAACATCTCCCAGCCACCGCGATGATCATGGCGATGAGAGAACGACACGCAAACTCCAAATATACAGCAGCAGACGTCAGGGTCGGGATCGAACCCAGTGCACGACCTCCTGCATACCAGGCGAAGGTAGTTAACATCTCCCAGCCACCGCGATGATCATGGCGATGAGAGAAAGACACGCAAACTCCAAATATACAGCAGCAGGCGTCAGGGTCGGGATCGAACCCGTGCACGACCTCCTGTACACCAGGCGAGGTAGTTAACATCCAAAAGAGGCGGGCGGCTACGGGGGTGGGGGGTAGCGAGTGGGGGGCGGTGGAGAGATTTGTCCGGCGAAACAAACGCGGCACCTGAATTGCATTTGCTTTGTACAGTGACGAGAGCCACGTGTTGACTGTACGGTGTGCTGAGCACGCGGCCCTCGAAGTGGTACTTCTGGTTTTGCAAACCCCGCACGGAAAACCGAGGCAGCTCCCACCGAGTCTGGAGATGTGTGGTCGTATGCTTTACCCCCCCCCCCCCATCATCAACCATCATCAATCCCCCATCATGGATCCCACCATCACCAAGGATCACAGATCCCCCATCATCAACCATCACGGAACTCCCATCACCAACCATCACGGATCTCCCATCATCAACCATCACGGAACTCCCATCACCAACCATCACGGATCTCCCATCACCAACCATCACGGATCTCCCATCACCAACCATCACGGATCTAGGGAGCGGCTTGGTGATGGCTATCGCACCAGGCGACGAACCCTGCGCACCCGATCTCGATTCCCGATCACGACGGCGAATTATATGAACCGGTTCTGGGCCCTCCACTGGGTTGACTCAGATGAGGACCTCCTGGTGGGGGGGGGGGGGGTGTAAAACGTCAGCGCCGAAGAGACAAACGCGGCCAGGCGTGTTCTTGTGCTGTTGTTGACCCACTCCGCCGCCTCGTGAGACGTGCCGCACTTGCCCCAAACGTCTCTGAAGGTTGCACGGGGGATCTTTGTCTTTTGTGCGCTGTAGGCTGATTGTCGCGTGTAATGTATATCGCGGATGTACAGTGGCATACCACTGAAACGGGTAGACTGCAGACTTTTAAACCTTTTAATTGCAAACCAATTTTCAAATCTCACTCCGCCTTTAACATTTCAGCTTCGTTTTTTTTGTTCCCGAACAAGTCACAGACTTTTTTTCGGTCATCCCGAAATCCAGTATGTCAGGCTCGACGGTTACTAGATGGCAGTATTGAACTGCACGGGATGTTTGTCATCCAACAATGAAGCCGAGAAATACCTCTGCCCTTCGCTTCATTAAAAGTGCGTGCCTCTTTGGACCACGGCCACAGCACTTGCTTACAGGCATGCTCGGGGTTGAACATCACACGCGCTCAGCGGTCCATTATTGACACGTGGCGCCCGATGATGTGAGCTCCCTGAGATTACACCTGCAATGTGTCTTGCCATGCCATCCACTGCCGGACCAAGTCCGTCCTCCCCATGCCGTGTCACTAACTAGTGGGGTCAGTGGTGGGGGGTGGGGTTCGTGAAGGGTTAGGGACCGGTTCAGATATCGCTCGCCACTGATGTTAGCCGGTGTTCGGGGAATCGAACCAAGGTAGGCTGGGTTTGTAGTGCAGCGTGGGGACCACTGTGTCGCTGCTTCGCCCGTCTGACTTCACCCCATCCGTGAGTTAAAAATCAGCAGACAGAGCCACGTGACATGCGTGCATACGGTGCTGTGCTGCATATCTAAATCAGCTCAAGCTTCCAGTCAACCACGTGACTTACGTGGCCACCCCCAACTCCGAAGCCCCGCCCTCCTCTCCCCGTCGCCGCCCCCTGAGAAAACAGACGCCGTTTCTCTGTGCAGCCTCTTCCAGTCTTCATCTCTCCGCTCCCTTTGCCAGTCCGTTCCTCGTACAAAGTTGGTGGGACAACACAATACATGGATCGCTTGGATATATATGTATAGCAAAAATAAACTATAAAACTATTAAACATTTTTTTTTATTTTACCGGGCCAGGCCCACTGAGCTATGTAGCTTTTTTTGAGAAGCGACCTGGCCACAAATGATAGCTGAACGAAGTAGCTTATCATGTGGAAATTTATAGCAGTCAAATAATCTTAACGCATGTTCCTAAATGTCGAGGGCAAAAACCAGAGGTCCTGGAGAACGACAGAACATGCAAACTCCAAATATACAGCAGCAGGCATCAGGGTCGGGATCGAACCCACGACCTCCTGTATACCAGGCGAGGTAGTTAACATCTCTCAGCCACAGTGGTGCATCTTCAGTCGCTGTTACAGAAACAAGAGGGGCATGTTTTCTTTTAGAAGCAGTCACTCATTGGCAGAGGGGAGGGGAGGAAGTTCTTAACCCTGCAAGGTCGACAGCACAGACGGCTGCGGCAAAGGAGTTACAGACCGTGGGGGCAGCAGAGGAGAATGAGTGGAAAATACATAACCGACATTTATTGTTTATTGTGCATGTATTGTGTATTTATTCGGCGTATTGCTATGGGGATAAGTCGAGCGGTTTTGGGACGTGATTAAGCGCTCGCGGAATCGCGCGCAATGTTTACGTTTCAAATGCAATTGCCATACACCCTCCCCCCCCCCAAAAATAAAAAATACTTACCCGATGAACACCAATCACCGTGGTCCAAATGAAACAAAACGTGTCCACGTACAAAAAACATCGCAGCATTCGCGAGATATGCGACGTCTGGGTTAGAGCGAGGCCTCTTTATCCGGCAGTGGCTTGACCATGGCTGATGGCGATGATGATGGTGATGATGATGGTGATGATGGTGATGGTGATGATAATGATGATGATGTGATGTGCCCGTACTCAAAACAAGACTCGGTGCGGTGCTCGTCTCGCTCCATTGGTTGTCGCAGACGAGTGCTGGAAATTGGACGTTTCTCTGGCGGGGACGTGGCAACCCAGGGAGGAACAAATGTTCCCGTACCACGAAGTGTGGTTTGTCAATGGAATAACATGTGACGGCGCCAGAATTCATTTAACCGCTGGGTTCATGCAAATGTTACTTATTTAAAGTAACTCAGATGTTTGGCGCGACGCGTCATTATACAGTGCGCGCGTTTCGCTCCGCCTTTATAGTGGTCCCTCTGTCAAACTGCACAACATTCCTCTGCGTGGTTTCTAACTAGCCGGGCAGAATTGGCAAATAATAAAAACCAGTTGGTAGCATATTTCTACAAAACATCAGCGAATGTGGTCTCCGCGCGTATGGCGGCCTTTGTTAAGCCCTTCACGGCAGTTCGGTTTCACTGGGTTAAGGAGGAGGTGGTTGGGGGGGGGGAGCTGAAACTTTGAAAACAAATACACTTGGTGGACCAGGCCATTTCATTCCATTCTGTAAAGGATATTAGCCTTTAATAAGTAAAATGGAGATTGCAACTGATGTTATCATTTCGATGTGTAATTCTAGACTTTAAAAAAAGGCTTTCCCCCTTTTAAAGCGAGGCTATTACTGTCAACGTTTCAGACCTTCCTGAAACTGAAGTGTCATTAACACAGCGGCTAGCAAAATCAATAACTTGTATCTGCTTAGGAGAGAGTTCTGCACTGTCTCCAAATGCAACTGGACCTATCGATTTGAATTCGAACGCAAGCCGTCAATAGCCGTGGCAGAGAGTGCGCAAAGTTCGGAGCTAAATGTGCAGCCAAAGCCTCCCCGCTGACAATGAATCAAACTGAAAACACGACGCGCGGGCTGCATTCAACCACTTGTTCGTGCGCTATTCTCCTCCGTACATCCCGTGACCGGGACTTGTCTGCAGGAACGCACGTGCGTGGCGGCGTAGGGTCCAGCGCGCTGTGCCCCGAACCCGGCGACCCGAGTTCGACTCCAGGCTCACGCTCCTCGCCCCCCCCCCCCCCCCCACCGAGGTCGTCGACTCGTCCTCATATTGAGTTCCTGGTGCGATGCGTAAACTATCGCCACTGGGGAGACAAAGACGTCCTGGCGTGGCGTGCCCGGCGAAACTTCAAATCGGTGCTGCTGCTGCTCGCTGACACCACTTGCCCCAACAGTCTGTTAAAGCTACACGGGGGAATCTTTGTCTCTGTGTTGCAAACAACTCGGCTCACAATTCCACACAACTCCCCTTCAGATGATGCATTCAATTGGTAACCTTCCCATGTTCGTGCCGACGCTGGACACGCTTCCGTGACTTTTTAGTTTTCATCACGAGTGCGGAATTGAAGCTCGCTGCGTCTTAAGCGTCGACTGCAAGTCACGCGCGATTAGTCACCCACACTGCGCAGTGCGGTTTGGTGAAGGGTTAGCAGTCTCCACGGTGCAACGTGTACTCATTTAATGCCGAGTTAACTTTAGGGAGGCCCACGACCAGTTCAGATATCGCTCCCGAGTGATGGTTGCCACGTCTCGGACTCGAACTCTGGTTACTGGATTCAATGCACAATGCACGAACCACTACACCAAAGACTAAGTTCCCCTGTACAGCCTTAACAGACTGTTGGGGAAAGTACCTATTAAGGCACGGGAGGGGGTGGGTGGCCTGCACCACGCCCGGCCGCTTTTGTCTCCCCCAGTGACGATGTTTACACACCGCACCAGGATACTCCTTTGAGGCTGAGTCGACCTAGAGGAGGCCCAGGTAAAGATAATCGTCACCGGTGTTGGTGGCCGTGAGCGGGAATCGAACTCTGGTTCCCCAGCACTGGTACGTGCACAGACGCACTCGTGCACGACGTGGCGGTGATGTCACCTCGGCGCCTGTGCCAGGCCAGGTGCACGCTCGTACACACCGCTCGTACACACACGCACACGATTGGAGGAGCGTGATATCGCCACCGTTCGTTCCCCACCCCCATCGCCCCGCCAGGACTCGAAGCTTGAGTTCCTGCGGAAGGTCTTCATCGGCTTCCTGGCGGGGACTCTGGGCTCGGTCATCAACATCCCCTTCGACGTGGCCAAGAGCCGCATCCAGGGCCCCCAGCCGGTGCCCGGGGAAACCAAATACCGCACCTGCATGGGCACCATCGCCACGGTGTACAGGGAGGAAGGGTAAGAGCGAGCGAGCGAGCGCCCGCAGATTGACGGCTGCTTCGCGAATTCGTCATTGGAGGATTTTCCGGCTCGGTATGTCAGAACATTGAAGAAACGTCGCGCCGCGGTGGGCTGTGAGATGTTAACTACCTCGCGTGGTTACGCAGGAGGTCGTGTATTCGATCCCGATCCTGACGCCTGCGTTATATTCGGAGTTGTTTGGCGTGTCTCTCTTCCTTTGGTCGCGTGAATTTGTCTCCGAGTCCTCCGGTTATTCCACCCCTCCACATCTAGAATCAACGTCGCGCGTTTCGAGTATTCGTGCTGCTCGAAATGTCCACGTGGTAAGCCACTGCGTTGAGGCGATATTTGTGGCCATGTCGCTTCTGAAAACGAGCTCTGTAGTGGGCCTTATGTGATAAAATAAAAAAATATATACTTTAGTTGAGAGCTTAGTTCAGTGCCACGTCGTGTTCGTCACGTGGCACCCGCTTTACCGGCGGCCCAGAACATATTCAGCGGGGGAAATGGAGTGATGCCCTGGTAGGATATGTCCTAAGTAGGGTCAACAGTTGGAGATTTTGGAAGGTAAATGGATGCGGTGCGGGGGTGGGGGGGGCAGATGGCATCAAACTCTAAACCAGCGGTCGGCAACCAAAATAACAAGCAGAGCACAATTTTTTCGAATGCCGTAAAACAATAAACAAAAAACCGCTCAATATTTGCAGAGCCGCAATGCACAGTGTGGTGAATACGAGACGGCGGTGGTTCCTTAATGAGTAACGTGTCACGAAGCAGCGAGTTTCCTTAAAGAGCCGCGCGTGGCTCCGAACCCCCCCCCCCCCCCCCCCCGGTCTAAACGGTAAAGGCGCAAGCCCTGCAATGCCGTCACGCCACTGCTCGCAAACATTGCATTGCAAGTCCCACGTACGGAACTAACCATTACAGCCGCAGTAGCTGCGTCTGCCACATAGAACAATTGTTTTATATATGAATATCCCGTCTCAGACCCCTGGGCCTAATAGTGCATAAATGATTCTAGCATATCAATAAATAGAAAGTAATTTGATTTGTATGAATTTGAAAATTTATGTTTAGCTAGTAACTTTATATTAGGCTGTAGTGCACTTGTTTTTTTTTTGCTTCGCGAGTATATATGGGTCTTTGAACGTGCTGGTTTTGCCTGGCGCGGATCAGATATTGTGATCTGATTTAGCCGGATTGTTTTACTTCACGTTTGGAGAGAAAAAAAATTCAAAATTTAATTTTCCAATTGAATCAAATGTTATTGTACCCAGTGTTTTTTTATCCTTAGGGCCAGATTCAGGAGACAGGATGTCAAAGCTGTTATAAGCAATCATTGCGTGCAACGCATTAATTCAACGAACTAAGATGGCAGTTATTGCTTTTAAATGGTTCAATTTTTAATTCGCTCAATAGCGCGCAAAGTATCACGCAACGGTGCAACGCTTGGAGTTACACTGTGGGACAGGAAGAGGAACACGTGGATAAGAGAACACACACCTCCAAATAGCACCTTCGGTTATCACGGTTGGCTACGTACGGTGCGAAAGAAGGTCAACATACAGATGTATCTCCACTGTGATTCGGTGATGACGATCCTGACTTATAACCCCTTGCATCGCGTTTCTGCCCTGGACCAACCACGTAAGGCATATCCGCATTCGCATCTGGGATACTACTGGCTCCATATCTGTGAGAGAGAAAAATATGCTCCTGGACAATTGTGTTAAATAGAGCTTCATAGCTCATCGGATTCGTCCAGTGTACATAAAGATTCTGACCGATGTCTGGCCCTAACTCGAACGGGTGGGAAAAAAATCACACATAACCACGAATTTTGAGACACTTTCCACCATTACCTTCGTCTGCACTCGCTTATCGTTGCTTCTTGCCCTCTGCGCAGGTACTTCGCCTTGTACAAGGGACTGCTGCCAAAGGTCATGCGACTCGGGCCAGGTAAGCGAGCGGCCCATCCTGCCCCAGCGTGGCTTTGTCATCACAGCGGCTCGCGGTTCAACCTCAATCGCGTCCGCTGCACCGACCATGGCTGTGGACGCGGAGTCCGTGTGGCCCTCTGGTCACCCGGAAGAGACGCTACAACGCACAGCGACGCAATTCCCCGACCCACATACACGAGGGAGACATCTGGGCGATGGTTAAACTCTCCGCTGCTTCTCCGGCTTGACCAGCTGAACGTGAGGTTATGGTTTGTTGCTGGACATCGGCAGCTTATACGACACAAGAAAAAGAAGACTGGGAAGCTGCACTTCGAGCTTTCCACAGCGGTTTAGCTGTGAACGTATGGTGACAACAACGACAACAACAACAAAAAATTAACCCGTAAAAACAAAGTTTTTCACTATAAATCCTTTATATGCGTGGCGGCTAGAGTCCTCTCGTCCTCTGGCTTGAGATGGCTGCCACCTATGGGTCAGATGATTGCCTGCCACCATTAAGCAATTGGTAATTAAATATTAAAAAAATTCCTAAAAAGTTTAAAGTTATGGAAAAAAAATTTCACAAATAAATTGTCACGCGCAACGAGTCTGTGTGCAAAATGTCAGCTCGATTGGATCACGGGAAGTGGGTTAAAAAACGACAGAAAGATTTGCACGGTCGTAAGCGCGCAAGCAAGCAAGCAAGTGAACTTAATATAAAGGATTTAAAAATACCCCGTGACCGACGAGGCGTGGGCGAGGCCCTTCAAATCGGTCGGTGGATTGATGATGGGTTGAGATTCATCTCTTGATTCGTGCGAAGAGATGAGAATACGATTTAAAAAAAATAAATAAAGAAAACAGCATTCGCAGAGATGTCATCCGAAGTGGTAGCTGGCATTGAGCGGTAGTCGCGGCTCACGCCGTGCCAGAACGCGTCGGCAACGTGTTTGTTCCTGTCTCCTGGATCGTTCGGTTACGGGGGAGGCCGCAACGTGCCATGCCGTCACACCGAACACACCGCCGGCAACCCTTGAGGGGCCATCCATTTAGTGGGCACGCAAAAAGCTGTCAAAACTTGAGCCCTCCCCCTCTCTCCCTGTACGCACGCGGACTTTTTATACCCCCCCCCCCCCACCTGCGTACGTTCGCCTGACGCACCCCCCCCCCCGAATCCTATAGAACGGCAGATATTGAATCCACGCAGAAACGATCAAGGATGAATAATATTAACGTGTTTAAGCAAACAGATAGTCCACCGCCGGACTATCTAACTCATTTGAAGGCCAATGTAGACACATTATTATTGAGGCTTCACCCCCTCCCCCCGTTTCCTATGCGTACATTGTCAGTAGACCCCCCATACGCAAGCTACGCATTTGGGTTAACCCCTCCCCCCTCCATGCGTACGTACTGAATGGATGGCCCCTAAATGAAGCCGTCGTTTACGCAAAACAAACATCCTCCTGCCAAGGCGGCGCCCCGCTCTGTCTCCACGAGCAACGCTTACGCGGTAACCCACGCGGTCGTGCGTGTGTCTATTCATTTCTTGTTTCATACTCGCATTCACAACCGTTTTTTTCCTCTCGAATGAGAAGCGAATGTGAGCGGGCCTCCGTTACGACCGTGCATGCGTGTCCGTCAGGTACTAGCCTCTCGCTGTGGGGGGGGGGGGGGGGAGAACAGCCAAAACGTCAGCTGAAAAAATATACGTGCGCCCCTTTGCATTGTGGGTCTGTTGCACGCTGCTAAAATGCAATACATGTATATAATCAGCACTCGGGCAAGCCAGAAAAATATGCGTGAAATTCGCGTCGGCAGAAAGCACATTTGTCAAGCCGCTGACAGCTTAGTCATAAGTTAAGGATTATGGCGGTGCCGACAATGTTTTTGCGCCGAGATATTTAAATAAAACGGAATTACCTGCCAAATCTGGGAAGGCGAAAGGGTTCTCCGTTAAACCCACGCGCCACCTACGCTCTGTGCTGCGTGTCGGTGGCAGATATAGAGACGGAGAGAGAGAGGGGGGGGGAGCGTTGGGTTTGAGCCCCGGGGCGAGAAAACCCCGAGCGCTGCTCCTCTCGTTTGCTTCCACGGCGATCGGTGGTGAGATGTTAACTCTCTCGCCTGATATGCAGGATGGGGCCGTCCATAAATGACGTCACGCACCTAGGGGGGGTGGGGGGTCAGACATTTGTGACGATGTGTGACGATTGGGGGGGGGGGGGGAGAAATGTGACATCACATCAAAATTCGCAACTTTGAATAAATATAGACAACACGTTCTACTTAATAAATAGACTTTTTAATAATTGTTATCTCCAACAACATCAGAGTGCAGCGCCACATTAAATACGCACTAGAATGACAATAGTTTAAAGCGATTTGAAGCATGTTTTTTTTTGAGGGGGGGGGGGCAGAACTTTGTGACGTCATATTTGAGGGGGGGTCTGGCTTTTTGTGACGCCGTGTGACTAGGGGGGGGGGAGGGTCAAAAATCGTCCAAAATCGCGTGACATCATTTAGAATCGACATTCGCTTCGAGTATTTGGCTGCTATGCATTTCCACGTGATGGGCCACTATGTTGAGCTCTCATTTGTATCCAGGGCGCTGCTGAACAAGAAGATATATAGCTCAGTGGACCTGGTAAAATAAAAAATAAAGTTTATACTTTAGTTTAGTCGGTGCTGAGAGGAAGGAAATTCCACTCACGCTCCCGAGTCCCCCTAATCCACTGCTGGATGAAGCTGCCCCCCCCCCCCACGCCGTCGACATGGACGTTCCTGCGATGGTAACAATCCGCACGGCGTCTGGGCGGAGCATTGAGCGTTGGAGAGGCCCTTATCCAGCAGTGTATCGATTTTTCCCAATCCCACTAGTCATTAGCATGACGTTTGGCTTCACGTGCAGAAGGAAGCAGAGTACACCAGTGAGCAAGATCGAGCCGGCAGTACAAGAGTCCAGAGGCTCGGCGAAGCTCTTCCCATGCACGTACGTTAAACTTCGTTCGCACCGTACGTAGCCATCCGTGCTAATCGGAGGTGCGGGGGAAGGACATCAAACTAAACGCAAAAAGCAGTTCTAAAGAAATGACTTTTCACTCTCGATTATTGACAAGTGCCCAGCTCCAGTGGCTTCCTAATATCGAAACGAAGGGAATTCCGGACGGACTCAGAGGCGCGTCTGCAAGCTCGCGATGTGGTGGCCGCCGTCTCTGTTCCATGGGCAGCCAAAAAGCCGCTGCCGCTGCTGCTGCCGCTGCCGCTGCCGCTGCCGCTGCTGCTGCTGCTGCTGCCGCTGCCGCTGCTGCTGCTGCTGCCGCTGCTGCCGCCGCTGCTGCTGCCGCTGCTGCTGCCGCTGCTGCTGCTGCCGCCGCTGCTGCTGCTGCCGCCGCTGCTGCTGCTGCTGCCGCCGCTGCTGCTGCCGCTGCTGCTGCCGTTGCTGCTGCTGCCGCCGCTGCTGCTGCTGCTGCCGCTGCTACTTCGAGGATGACCGGAGTTCGCGTGGTGCCAAGATTACCACTGAGCGCGAGCGTTATTATTCTAGTCATACCGCCTCCTCATGCCATTAGCTCTTTGACATCTGGTCTCTTGACCGCTGCCACTGTGGGAGCGGCCTGTAATGGATCTTGGGCGAGCGCGCGTGAGCAGCGCGCCGTCGCTGCCACGGCGCAATGTTTCATCGGGCGTCGAGACGGCAAGAGCCCCCCCCCCCCCCTTCAAACACGAGTCCGCTATTAACATCGCCGCCTAATGTTTCTCGACGTGCAATGACAAGTTGTGGACTCAAAATAACCAAATATCCCCCCGCCCAAAAAAAAAATCGGGCTGCTCAAAAGCCCCGCAAGTTTTTTTTATTTCTTTCTTTCTTTCAACGCGACATTGAAACTCGCGCAGTTGAACCGTCAGCCGGTGACAGCGCCCGTCTCGAGTTCAGGCTTCAGGTGTAATTTCGTTGGGATAGCCCGGTTGGCCAGAGTGACCTGAACCATAGCGACCATCTAACAATCATAGACGACCGTGGCAAGGGCCTCTTCATCCCTGCTCCAATACGCATGCTCGGTTTCGCCGTTCCGTGCCCGGGAGGGGCCGTGCCCACGTGCGCGTGCGTTCCCTGCGTTCCTGCGCTCGCCGGAGGAAACCATGCACCGCAAGTGCGCGGTAAAGGTCAGCCCTCGTTATACTTCCTGTCATTGCCACGACGTGTAGGTGCCCGTTAACGTGCGATCCGCCAAACGTAGTGGAAAGTCTCGTTTTTTTATCGTAGTCACCGTCATTGGTTTAAATTTTATTTACACTGCGCCTACCGTGCAGTATATCTCATGGTGCCCTCCGTCTTCATCTTTGCTACAGCTCAATTGGACCAACTATTTGTTGCAAGCGATTTAGCCAATCAGTTGCTTTGTCCGAGATTTAGTGATTTTGCAGATCGACCTGCCCAAACCACACCGCCTTCAGACACGCGCATGTACTTGGGGGCAGTGCCAAGTGAGGAATGGGTCCACGGATTAGAGTTCGCAACCACGGTCTATTGTCGTTTTTGAAAGAAACACAAACCACAAACTCGACAACATTCGTCAATAACGCTGTGGGCTTTAAATGGAAAACATACGGACGCGCTCGGCTACGTTTCGGAGGAACGATCCTCCTGCACAGCACGCGGACATGTTTTAGCACTCCATTGTGTAATAATTCTATTTGTTCTACGTATATATATTTTTCGTTCGATTCAAACGACACTCATGTGCCTCTGTCCTGCCTCGCACGCAGGGGGTGCGGTGATGCTGCTGGTGTACGAGCACGCCTTCGCCTGGCTCCAGATCAACTGGTGAAGGTCACCAAGCCGCCACCACCACCACCACCACCTCCTCCCAGCACCGCCTGGCACCGCCCGGCACACTGGCGATGCTCAGTGACAATGCGGGAGCGGGGGAGGAAGGGCGAGAGGGGGGGATCGAGGGTCTTCGCCGGACTCCGGCGTGAGCGCTCGCTCGCTCGCCGTGACCGGGGCGGCTCAACGGTGAAATTAATGAAAAATTGAACCGGTATTATATAAGCGCACTTTCTTCCACGAGTCCTTCAATGCTTAAAAAAAACAATGGTACGTACGCACGCACGCACGTGCATTAAAATGTCTTTCGCACCGTTATGTAGGCGACCGTGCCAAACGGAGGTTCCGGGATGGGGGGGAGGGGGACGAAGGGACGAAGAAGAACAACGGCGGATAGAGGCTGCGCGTTGCCGCTGTCGGATGCGGTTGAGAGATTACGACGGACGGCGATTGAAGCGGGCGTCGCGTGGCGTGGCGTCGGTGGCGGCGTGGAACGAGCCGTCTCCTTCGTGTGTCCCCTCGGCCGCTCTTGGCAGCGCTGGCGCCGTGGCCCCTCTGTGCCCACCCCCCCACCCCCTGCGCCGAGCGGGCGTGCAGTTACATCTTCATCTTTTACGCCGCGCAACTCGCGTCTCGATAGAGGTGCCTCGGAGCGATTTCACGCGAAATGACAGTTACGTACGTGCGGTGAACTGTTTCCTTTCGCATCGCACGTGGCCGGCCGTGTTCATCGGAGGTGCGGCGGAACGGACAATTGAACCCAACGCAAACAGAAAATAAAATAGTTCTAAAGAAATGAATAAATTACGTCAATGCCCAACACTTTTAATGTATAAATCACGGGACGATTCAGATTTAGTTTAAAATAGCAAAGCAAGCTACCGTAAATTTTGATTTAAAGCTTTCGTGACTGCAAAGATTCATATTCTTGGTTCTTTCGGTAAAGTCACGTAGAAGGGAAATAATAAAATAATATTAATATAAAACAATAAAAAAACAATAGAAATCCTCACGACGTTTCGACTGCAACACAAGCAATCATCATCAGGTGTGAAATCCACAGCAAGAAAAGTTTATTTTTTTGTTTGTTTTATATAAATATTATTTTATTATTTCCCTTCTACGTGACTTTACCGAAAGAACCAAGAATACAAGCTACCGTAGGTAATATAAATAAAATGGGAAAAAAATACTCACGAAAGTTTATTTGTTTCTATTTAAACAAGCCACCAAGGTCAAGGAATCGCGTCGGTCAAAGTCTCGGCACGCAGTTCCCCGTCGTTAAATTTGCGCCACATCGCAGACGCGCGCATAGAGACGGGAGGACGGTGGGTGATTGCTTTTTCTTTTAAAAAATAAATGCTTTGCATCGATCGAATCTGCTCCCCTTGACATTTGCTGCGGGACAGACGGCCCAATGACATCCGACCGGCCGAATAACTCGGTGCACTACACGCTTAGCGGCCCCTGCCACAGGGCAGTGGGTTCTCGCAATTAACAGCGAACTCGGAGACACTGCAACAGCTCCAGCTGCTACCGTAATCGACGACTTGTAACCTCGCCCCCCCCCCCCCCCCACGTCGCTTGGCTGAACCCTTCGAGTTCGTTTGAAGAGTCGAGATTGTGCGGGAATGCGCTGGGGATGTCGCGCTCACGCGTCGTCGCACGGTACAGCTCTACCATGTGGTTCCGTATGGGGAGGTGGGGGTGGGTGGTTGTGCGGTGATTGTGTTGTGGTGTTGTGGTTGTTGTTGGGTGACGATGTCCGTCGTTCGCGCCCCACGAGGCCGCAACCCGGCGTCGGGAGCCGTTCCGGAGATCGTCCCCCTGTTTACCCGACAGAGGCTCTGAGTGCACGGAGCTAAGAAGTGGGGGTGGTGGGGTCTGGTCGGCATGGCCGCGAAATCCCACGTGGAGAGTTGGCGCGTGAGTCTCTAATCCCCCCCCCCCCCCCACCTTGAACGGCACCGTCTATCACTTCGGAGCGAGCTGCTGGTTCGCCGTCACGCAGAACGCCGTCTGGGAGATGTCCCGTCGGGAACTCAACCGGTCACGATTTGTTGAGCTTCTTATTTTTTTTGCGCCCCGAAAAAACGCGCAAATCGCTCCCCTCGCGCCGGGGCGGAATTTCTCGATCTTGGAACGCGGTGTCCGCTCGTGCTCTGCGCTTAAGTCGTGAAGAAGACAAATCAAAAGGAACCCGGCGGTGAAGTGACCGGCGTTGCTCGAGCGGGCCTTTGTCCTCCACCGTTTCGTTCTTGCCGGAGCAAAACGTCGCGTGGAAGGAGGCTGCGTGAGCCGCGATATCCGATCGGCTTTCGTCGTCGGTGGATCACGCCACCGATGATCGGTGCTGATCGCTCGACTTAAGCGGGTGAAACGCGGAAAATAGATGGGAGGCGGGAGGGAAAGGGGGGGGGATATGTCTCGTCTCCATTTGCACGCGTGCCGCTGGGCGGGAGGTGCTGGGCGTGGCTTGGTGAAGTCGGCGGCATAATCAGCTGGCTTGGAGTGGGGGGGGGTTTCCCTCCTTCGCGATGATTCGACCGCAACAAAAAGTAGTCGATGGCAATTTTTATTTCATTCATCCACCTCTTCGATGATTCGTCCCGGGTTACTAAAATTTAAAAAGAATACATATTCCCCACCCCCCCCCCCCCCCCCCCATAATTATACTTGTAGAATATTTTGGCAGCTACGGTGGTTGAGCAGGTTTTAAACGCTACACACGCGTGCGCGCGTGTGCTAACAGCTCATCGCACTGGCTCTTTGCACAGTGTTCATGGTGGTCGGAGTTGGTTTGTTATGCAACTTAAAACGACCTTGGCTGCAACATTCACCATTGTAAACTCATTTGTTACATGCACATACAGCTCCTCAATCAGGTAGTGATAATAATAATCATAATATACAGCTCTTTTGTCAATTTTAAAATCAGGATCTTTTTTATCCTGGAGAAAATCCGATGAGCTATGAAGCTCGTTTTCACACATGTCCAGGCCTTTTCCATGCCATGTTAGTCATAGAGGTCATTTTGCCATACTTCGCCACGCTGGTCAGTTGCGGTTTAGTGAACGGGTGTCACGTGACCGGTTCACATATTCGCCACTGATGTTGCTTGTGGCCAGGAATTGAACTCAGGGCTGCTGTATTTCTGAGCACAGTGTGCTAACCACCGCGCCACCATTCTGCCACTGTGCTCATGTGTTTAACCTAGTCGTTCATCTTTTCCTGCAGTTGGTCGGTGGGTCATGGCAAATAACCTCCGATCCGATTATCCTTGGACCAAAATATGAATTGTGAACTTGATATTGCATGCTTCCTAGTCCTAAATGCAGTGGACGTAACTCTGAATGTGTAATTTGATCGTTTTAAAATGCAATGGAAATATTCAATATATTTTTTCAGAATATGATGGATGTTTAATTATGAGACGGAATTTAAATGATTTGCGTGAAAAATTGTGTTTTTTAAAAATATATTTCTGTTCAAGTAATAAAGTGCCTAACATCTTAATAAAATACCAGAATCAAGTCGATTGCAATTGTCCTAGCATTGCTACTTCGGGCGAGACGTTGATTTCCGTACGGCACAGTACGTTTGTGTGAGTTTTTTTTTAAGAGTCATAACGCATGCATCTCTGTGCTTGCATTGGCAACACTTCTCAGGATTTCAATGGAGCCGTTTGATTAATGATTACAATACAAGGTACAGGCGCGACCCTGCAATTTGCTCGCTCACGCCACTGCTGACTCCTCCAGGGGGGTACTTGGCCTACTCTTCCACACTTTTACTGATGCCTTGGAAGAGCTGGAAGTACCCACACTTCGTCCCACGGCACGTGACGCCGCGTTTTGGAATGAAAAGTGGTAAGTGATACCATTTCCTTTAAGGTACAAATTTCGAAAAATTTCAAACGTATCTTTGACCAGAATTTTGTGAGACACTATATATACCGGGTGCTTAAAAAATGTTAAAACTTATCTGGGACTATCGTTTTTAATGGAAAAATAGCGGATAATACACTGTGGCATGATAACAAATGTATGTTAATAGCTTCAAAAAGTCAGTCTCCATTCGTTCACCATCATTGCCAACACGTGCCTGGAATCTTCTCCAGGTGGTCTACAGAGCCGGGCGGCACCTTTATCGTGGTATTGTTGCAAATTCTCAGAAGTGTTAAAAAAAATTTTTAAGCACCCTGTATTAAATATGTATAAATTATTCCGAAATCGGCAACACGTCCCGAATATAGTGTATGTGATTGAATCATACGGAGTGCTTCTCTTAGGGAAAAGTGAAAACATTTGTTTTTTAAATGCCCACATCACCAGATACTCAATATGCTTCACCCAATGGTGGTCGTGATGAGTGCTGGATTGGACTGAGATCCTTGTGAGAGGAGACCACGAGTGAAGACGCTTTGGGGGCAGTGCCGTAATATCCTAGTAGCAAAAGTAGCAAATGCTACGGGCACCGCACTTTCAAGGGCTCCGCGCTAAATGCTTTCAAGCTATCAATTCCGGTTCAGTAATTCTGCACTTGCTCTATCACTATAGTACTGTACTGCCTTCAACTTTTATGAACGACTGGGTGTTAAAGGTTAGCGATTTGTCTAATTATTTGGCTGTATAGCAAATGAAATAATACAATTACTTTACTATGCAAGTAAAACATTTGGGTGTTATCTTCTTGGTTCTTTCGGTAAAGTCACGTAGAAGGGAAATAATAAAATTATAAAAATAAAAGTTTTTTTTATTGTTTTATTTTAATTATTTTATTATTTCCCTTCTACGTGACTTTACCGAAAGAATCAAGAAGATGAATCCCTGCAGTCACGAAAGCTTTAAATCGAAATTTGTGTTTTAATTTTTATTATTATTTTTATTTAGGGCCCCTTCATAACATATGCTACAGGCCCGCACTAGCTTCATCCGGCACTGGTTGGGAGGGTTTCGAATGTGGGCTTCTGATTGGCTGAACCAAGCGCTCGGGATAAGAGCCAATACGCTTTTGGTCGTGGCTTAAAAGTTGAGAATTACTTTGATTTATACCAACGGAATATTAGGAGGTTTACTCTGTGTGCTCCCTAGAGGGCTGAACCTTTCACAGTTACCTGGAGGAATATGCGTGCCCACGTGATTCGCCGGGGGCCCGGGGTAAACTTCACACCCCCTCCCCCACCAATGACGCATTCAAACTTCACCGGAAGTATCACGTTTACCACCGAGACATCGAAGCGCCCCCCCCATCCAAAGCGTGGGGCCCGGGACGGTCGCCCCGATTCGCCGTACCCTTAGGGGCGGTTTTCGGCGGATGCATCCATTTCGGCGTGAGCTTGAAATGCGCCTGTGAGGAGAAGCGTCCATCACGGAGGGAGGAGAAACGAAGTGAGCTCTTGTAAGAGATGGGGGAGGCCTTCATCCAGCAGTGGATTGATCGTGGCTGCCGATAAAAATTACGATGGGGGTGCGTTTAAGTCTATCGCGCGATGTAACTTCTGGAACAATGTTTTATACCAGCATCTGCTTAAGCAGAAAAACCAAAACAAAAAACGTGGTCCGGTTTTGATTTATTTGAATCTCATCAGCAGGGTTGTGGTCTTTAAAAGAGTGCCGCTGGGCTTCCTGGAGGTATAGCCAAGGTCTCTCCGTGAACACCATGGGACCCCTATTCATTATATATATGAACACATTGCACAGTACAAGCAGAACACCATTCACGTTATACGTCGCCGCATATAAAGTACAAACTACGATTGAGCCGGTCAGCCAATAGGCTCTGCAGACCAATATGATCCAGCAACAATTGTTTAAGCCGGCAAACTCCGGACCGGTGTCAACCTTCTGGGACTCATCAGCTGAGCGAGGCTAACTAGTCCGGTCACCCAATCGTAAGTCATTGCCTTCGTTAGCAGGAATGGCCACGAATATTACTGCAAAATTACGACCGGCCATTAACAATTGTCAGAATAGCTGCATTTGGCCGGCGAAAAAGACGTAAAATAAAGGACCACGAGATATAGCCGCGTGGTGGTTAAAGCCTTCGCGTTCGCCTTAGTGGTCATTACGGAGAGAGAGAGAGAGGGGGGGCGGGGGGCTCGTAAAATATACCGAAAAGGCGAATTCCAAGTGCAGTCTCCAGGCTCTCCGGGTTCTTCTCTGGCGTTGAGGCACGCCGGGTTCACGCGGTGTCCACCCCGCACGCCCCACGCGGTTAGCACGCCGCGCCTTCGCGGTGTTCAACCACGCACAGGGGAGCTTGCGTGCAGGAGGCTTCGCGAAGCAAACTTAAAGCAATGGCCGAGGCAAATGTACCCCGGGTAGCTCAAGGTGGGGGTCGGGGGTGGGGTGGGGTGGGGTTGAGGTCCCGAATTTATGACAAAATGTTCGAGTACGTAAACATTGAGCTAGAACTTAGATCCTCATTTAAAAAAAAAATTCGAAATTATAATTTAAATGTACGATGAAAAAAGTCCATCATAATTGGGAATTTGAGTGAGTCTATCAACTTGATCATTTCACACAACTGGTATACAATTAAGTTATGAAGGTTCACCGTAACACAACTTTATTCTCCGGATTATCATACAAATGCCGCTGTACCGCCTTTCTACTTCTTCCTCTGAATTTGAAAGAAAAAGTCGCGGGTGCGTCTTGTCATCCGGTAGCTGTGTGTGTTTCCGTGCGTGAGCGCGGTAGTGCAGTGGTTAGCGCGCTGCGCTACGAACCCGGCATCCCAAGTTCGATTGCCGCTCACGGCCAACACCAGTGACGATTATCTGAACCGATCCTGGCCTCCCCTAGGTCGACTCGGCCTCAAATTAGTACCTGGTGCGGCGTGCAAAAACATCACCACGAGGGAGACAAAGGCGGGCGGGCGTGGTTTCTGGCCACCCACCTCCACGTGTGCCGTGCCGGCATTCAGAGGTGCTCGCTAACAGCACTTGCCCCAACAGTCTGTTGAGGCTATACGGGTGATCTTTGTCTTTGATCGGATCTGTAGCACTATTGATACCGGGGCACAGGTTTGGGGGTGCGTCTATAATGTGTAGAGCGTCTTATAAAATCCGCACAATAGCGTGCTGTTTGTAGTGGCGAGATGTTAACTGCCTCGCCTGGTATAAAGGAGGTCGTGGGTTCTATCCCAACCTCGGGTGCCTGTATATTTGGAGTGTGCGTGTTTTGATGCATGTATATTTGGAGTGTGCGTGTTTTGGTGCCTGTATATTTGGAGTTTTTCCCCGTGGTCGCGTGGATTTTTCTCCGGTTTTCCCCTCCACATGCAGGAACAACACGCGTTTAGAGTATTTGACTACTGCTGTACATTTCCACGTGATGATAATCCACTTTGTTGAGCTATCATTTGTGGCCATGTCGCTTCTGAAAAAGAGCTGTATAACTCAATGGGGCCTTACCTAGTAAAATAAAAAATGAAACAGTTTAGTATATATTGTAAACCCATAGGGACACGCAAAGAAGCATAGAGACGAATCGAGACGAATAGAGGCCAAATAGATATATACACATTGAGATGCGTGGAGATACATTATAGTACGCACCGCAGTCGTGTGCTTGGGGCCATGCGACCAAAACTTACGGACCGCAGCGCAAACCCAGGTGTGTCGTCTGCGCTCCAACAACGGAGGAGGAACAGAAAATCTGCGACGAATCTTCTCTCTCCTGAAGCCCCTCTGGTCGTGGCCGGCAGTTCTCGACACGTACGCATGCATGTTGAACTTCTTTCACGCCGCACGTAGCCAACCGTGCTAACTTGGAGGTGCGGAGTGCTGCAATCACTGGCGTTCATTCCCTGAGTCGCAATGCTGCGGCTGCTGCTGCTGCCACCATCGACGCAGTAGAAATAGAAATGCAGGCGCGTGCAGTACAAAAAAATTATTATATCTCCCTTAGGGCCTTCAGTAGCCTTGCACCACTGCCGAAGACTCGCTCGTATCTTACCGATTTCGTTGAATAACGGCTACCGGCGGCTGCGTTAAAACACAGTGAGTGATGTCGAGGCCTCGTAACTTTCACTGCTTTCAATGATGAACTCGGGGAACATTCCAGTGGAACGTATTTTACGAAGCCGGCAACAGGTCGTAAAAAGGAAAATCGTTCAGACATACTATATCACTGCGCAAATAATAATCACCACCATCATCATCATCATGGCAATGGCAATAAAAAGGCAGCGGTCACAATGTAATATTCCACATGTTTTGTTTAATATATACATATCTTACAATACAACAAGATATATAAACTCTAGTTCAGAAACGTAGAAAATTAAATATATAACTTGTCGAAAATGTACACGTTATTATTGTTTCCTCTTTCAGAACGCGAAAACAAACGTGGACTCGAGACACGAGGACATTTCGTGCGGTATCTCGTCTCGTACATCCGACGTTGGCTCGTGGGGGCCACTCGCTGGGAAAGTCTCCCCCCCCCCCCCCCCCCGACCAGAGAGTGGACTACGAACCTCACACAGCAGCAGCAGCAGCAGGGGCCGATTGTGAGTCGCGTCCAGAGCCATTGCATCGGAGAATTCGCACAGCGTGCGTGGCATGGATTGGGCCCTGGTGCAAGCAATAAAATGTGACCCCCCCCCCCCCCCCACCACCATCACCACCACTACTCCCCTGTCAAATTTCTCTTTCTCTTCGTAGCTCGGCGACTGGGGGAGGGTGGTTAGGGGGGGGGGGGGCTCCGGCCCCGTGTGTCTCCGGGCGCAGTTCCACCCCACCGCCCGCCCGCCGCGCCCTGCGCACGTAGAGAGGCCACGCCACGGCGTCGTCTTCTCGCCGTCTCCCGCTTTGTAAAAGCGACCCGCTCAACGCCAGACGCCGTGAGCGCGAACCCCTCCCGCCGACGGCCACAATCCACGGGGTCCGCGCGTGGACGAGAGCGCGGCACAGCCGTGACGCGCGCGCGGGCCACGTGCGGCCCGGTGAGTCCCTGCGGTCGTCTTGGGAGGGAGGGAGGGAGGAGGGACGAGGGGGGTGGTGTGTGTGAGTGTGGGGGGAGGCTTCTTCAGGACTTCCTCGGCGCCAACGCGTCCCCTCCTCTCTCGTCCCTCGCTGCCGCTGCGGCGGCTGCGGCGGCGACGGCGGCGGCCGCGGCCGCTTTGAAGTGGGCGGGCGACGAGAGGTCGGCGGGGTGCGGCTGGCCCTGCCACGCAGCCCCGTGGCCCGGCGGCACGAAGCCCGCGGCCTGTGCCGGGCCACCCCCTCCGCCGTACGCCACGTAGGCCCCCATGCCCGCCTGCGACTGGCTCGGGTAGGGCCCGAGACCCGAGGCCGACACGAAGGTGCTGACCGCGGGCAGACCTGACGCGTGGCCCTGCGCGGGGAGGGTACGGGGGGGGGGGGCGGGGAGCAATTTTAGTGAGGAATTGGTGAGACATCGAGTGAAGAGGAAGTGACCACTCAATTTCAAGGTAAGTATGGATCGTCATCGTGTTTGTGTGTTGAACTGTCGCACCGTACGTATGCAATCGTGCTAATTGGAGGTGCGGGTGAAGGACAACAATTTAAACACAACAATTTTTTTGTTCATCATCAGCCGTGGTCAATCCACTGCTGGATGAAGCCCTCTCCAAGCCGAATACTCAGGACTCTCTCCCTCCTCCCCAAAGAACACATTCAGGGAATTCATGACCACGCGATTGCAATAAATTCTATAAATATGGGGAAAAAATTGTACATGGTATTAGTTTGGTCCCGTGAGTCACGGACATTTTTTTTTTCATGAAACACTAACAATCCCAGATGCCTTCACGTTTGTCGGTGCTGGCTTCAGCAGCCCACTGAACTGGGTGCAAAAAATAAAGGGCTCCAAAACAGACTTGCCACACGAAAACAAGCGGGATATTGGCAGCAGCGAAAGAAACGGGAAGGAAAGGAAAACGCCGAGAAGGAACGGACGATAAATAACTCAAGGTAACTCAGTCGGCGGTAAGAAGTCGCAAGCCTCGAGCTGCTGCTCAAGTATGGGCCTTCTCTAATCGATGTTTATCGATGAAGCTGTGAGCATCGAAGCTCAAGTGAGGCTGTGAAGAACTGTGCTCGCATTCGTCAGGTGTGAGAGATATCGCACGCACAACACAACCGCCGTTGTCGCGTTTGAATGTCGACTTTTAGACCACCGGCTCAACGCCGACTTTAATTCCGACTTCATGTTATATACTCTATATATATAAAACAAACAAAGGTCCCCCATGTCGCCTGAACAAACTTTTGGGACAAGTGCTGCTAGCGAGCACCTCTATGAAGGCCGGCACGGCACACGCGGGGCCGTGAGCGGGGAATTGAACTCGGGTCACCTCTCCCCACGTGTGTTATAGACACAACGCACACACGCAAACGACTGCGCGTATATGCGACACGTGGTTTATCCCACGCGCACACGACGCGCGGACCACGTGCTCTCGCGCCGCAGTGCAGGCACGATGCAAATGACATCGAAAATAAAATATAAACTAGTTTAGAATTGCGGCTCTACGGTATATGTATACACACACAGTAGTTAATTATTACAGTCCCTTGTCGATTGAAGCGATGAGGCGAAAACGCGAGTGGCTAAGACCGATGGGGGGGGGGGGGGGGTGGGATCAAGTGAGTGTGGGCTTCGGTTCGTGGGTGCAGCGGTGGCGCTAACCACTGCGCCACCGCTCCACCCACGTGACACACTCTACATAGTTCAACACGTAGGAGGCTTTCGCGATCTAACCCCCCCCAATAAACCCCCTCCCCCCTGTATTATGGATACTCAACATAGGTATGTATGTTGAACGGCCCAGCGGATTATGCGTGTGCGCATGCTGGACTTCTTTCGCACCGTACGTAGCCAACCGTCCTAATTGGAGGTGATGAATCGGGGAGGACAGCCAACGTAAAAAGACAAAAGAGCGGTTCTAAAGAAAATGAGTTCGGGTAACATTGTACAATGGTGCCTACGGACGCGTTCACACGGACGTAGTGGGACGCACGTAACACGGCTGCTCTGTTCGTGGCGATCGAGAGAGTCTGTTGGGTTCGTGAGCTTCGTGAGGTCAGTCACCCGAGGCTGTGATCTCTCGCAGTGCAGACCACGAATAGACGAATCCGTCCATTGGCTCGCCATTAAACGCACGATGTGTTTCGACTCATTTTGAACGTTGCATTGACATTTGTCGCAAAATGAACGACGTTGAAACACTTCTCGACGACTGCAGCTAAATGGAGACACGAGACTGGCGTCAGTTACTCGAATCGTCGAGATCGGTGACTTATGCGGGTTCGCTTTGTGCGATTTCGCTGTATGTGCGGCGAACCTATTCCCACCCAAATTTCTCTCTACGCGGTTTGAATTCACTCTACATGCGGCTATGCGGTCGGACGTGGAACAACATCGTATGTGTGTGCCGTGTTATGTACTGTGCGTGTGCCGTGTGTATACTGTGTGTGTGCCGTGTGTGTGTAGCGTGTGTGTGTAGCGTGTGTGTACTGTGTGTGTACCGTGTGTGTACTGTGTGTGTACCGTGTGTGTGTACCGTGTGTGTACTGTGTGTGTACCGTGTGTGTGTACCGTGTGTGTACTGTGTGTGTACCGTGTGTGTACCGTGTATGTGCCGTGTGTGTACCGTGTGTGCGTGTACCGTGTGTGTACTGTGTGTGTACCGTGTGTGTGTACCGTGTGTGTACCGTGTGTGTGCCGTGTGTGTACCGTGTGTGCGTGTACCGTGTGTGTGTGCCGTGTGTGTACTGTGTGTGTACCGTTTGTGTGTACCGTGTGTGAACTGTGTGTGCGTGTACCGTGTGTGTGTGCCGTGTGTGTACTGTGTGTGTACCGTGTGCGTGTGCCGTGTGTGTACTGTGTGTGTACCGTGTGTGTGTACTGTGTGTGTACCGTGTGTGTGTACCGTGTGTGTGTGTACTGTGTGTGTACACCGGGCAGACGTCTTGGAAGAGGTGGGTATGACCCACGCTTTTCCCCAGCGCACGCGAACCTACCTGCCGAACGACTAAAACTGTGGTGAACCCATTTAAAGTGCTGGCTGAACAAAAAAGAAAACTGCGCCCCTCCCTCCCCTATTGTTTCAACTGCCGCGCCCGGAGATCGAATCGAGCCGGCGAACATTGAGGATTTGCACGCCCAGACCTTGCTGACCGTCCACGCACCCACGGCAGCATCCGCAAGCGACGTTGCACGCAGCGCAGTTCGAACACTCGCCATTTAGTCTTGACCTCCACCTCTCGCATCTGGATCTCGACTCCTGATGGAGTTCAACAACGATGATGACGTCGTCCTGCTGCACTATTTAAGACCGGAAGCAGGTGGACGGCTTCACTCTTCTGGCAAATCGCCCGAAGATGCTGAATATAATTTCCAGCGAAACGTCGTACTACTCGAATAGTAAACGTTGTGGATTCACTCGTCAACACACCGGTGGGCTAGAGTAGCGAACCATTTGTCTTTTGTCAACGTGTCACATTTTTTACTGATTGGCCGTGCCGGGTGGTGGAGGGTTACGACACATTTATAAATAACGCGATCTAACCCAAAAACCTTTACGATGAATATGGGGAATATAAATGTATTTATGTATTTCTTGCTCTTGTACTTATTTCCCCCTCCTCCCCCTATTCAGCGCCAGCGCGCCAGACTACCCCTAAGCATTGTGAGAAAGGAACGTTGCATTGGCACCAATCCACGGCGCTTAATTGCGATCGTTAGGCATTTATTTATGAGCGGGGGCGCACCTGGGATGTACACCGCGACGTATTTCATGCTACAGCTGCGGCTACAGCAGCAGCAGCGAGAGAACGTTTGCGTTTCGAGATATTTCCTTTTTGCTGTGATGATCCAGGTAGCACGCCGGCAAATCAGCGTGTCTAATCTCAGGCTCCGTAGCGAATCTCCGGTGGAAATGATCACGGATGCGTTTCCCACCGGAACATCACTCGTCGATTCCTCTAAGCCGTTGTTAGGGGGGGGGGGACTCCATCCGCCGATTGTCAGTGACCCTTTTTTTCTGCTTCATGGCGTGACTCTGCAGATTGATTCTATCGTGTCTCTTGACCCACCCCAACACCGCCGCCCACACCAAGTTCGTACATCCACACTCGTATTGACGCGTCACCCATTGCTGCAAACTGTTTTTGTGGCGACTGGCCTGTGGTGAGCAACCGAGATACTTTATGTTTAAACGCCAACAAAACAGCAGCGATGGTTGCAAAGCGAGTGGTGTTTTCGTTCAACAATTTTAGTTTGTCTTCTCGCTTGGCACAAGCTCCAAATCTCCGAGTAGCCTGTTACCCCCTTTCCATGGACCTCCAAAAGTATCGGCAGCGGCAGCGGCAGCCGCAGGTGCTAACGAGTACTTTCTATCCAGGCTGCACGTGTCAATATTGTTACAGCAAAATTAATAACGGCGCTACTTAGGAAGGGCAGGGCCTGAGTTCGTGAGCGGGCAGCAGGTCACGGGGTGGTTGGGAGAAAACGTTGGGAGGGCCCAACTCTTCCGAGACGTGAGGAGGCAGCGTGGAAGAGCAGGCCAAAACATTCCCCCTCTTAGAGCTGCAACCATCTCGTGTCAGGCCTTTCCGCCGGCAGTGGCGTGAGCGAGCAATTGCAGGGTTTGCGCCTTTGCCTTTTGCCCACATCCCTCTATATTAACAATACGCTTGTTTGCACACATTGTTTCAGCAGATTCTAAATTGTGTGGCTTGCGAACGGCTAAATATGTACAGGGTGGGCAAATACGTCAGGACACAGGGTTATTATGATTATTTTAACAAATCACATCGGGTTATTTAATTAATTTAACTAATGTTCAAACTGACTACCATTAATATAAATGCATGAATTATCTTTAGAAATTAATCTACAACAGTTTTTTTTTAAGATTACAGCTACCTTCTTCAGCATAAATAAAAAAAAATTATGTAAAGAATAATAGATAACATTTTAACTTAAAGAATAAACAATTGAAATTATTTAATATCAATATTAAAATAAACGAAATAACTCTATGTGTGCTGGATTTTTGGCCACCCTGCATATAAGAATACCAGTCTCCAGTGAGTATTCCTATAGTTCACGTAGAGTTGGTCTCTATAATTACTCTTTAAATACAGAATTATGTTATATGGTCTGGTTGCCTTTGGCTAAGTTTTTTTGTACCTTCCGTAAAGTGAAACTGGTATTACTATGCAAGTAAATAGGCAAACAACATGCCTCCAAACATCTGTCTCTGCGCATAAAATATAAAACATATCTGGGAAATGTAAAGAGTATTTGCAGTTTAGTTTTACCTGACGGGACGGATATATGAATGACTTACATCGCCTGCCTATGTATTTTGTCTGCTCATTATTTTTTTGTTACTTATACGTTTGCATCGCAGGGCATATATACATATTCCTCTTGTGAATCAGCTCATGTGCACGAGTGAGATGGATTATGGAATTCGCAGGCCTGCGTGGGGAGGCCTTCATCCAGCAGTGCATAGACCATGGCTGCTGCTGTTGGTGAAGCAGTGGTGGACGCTAATCGCACATCCCCATTCACCTCGCTGCAACAATTTGCATGTGGCCTCGTTCGCACACACTCCTCAACGAGCGCACGTGTCTATGTTCATACCTACTCGATTGTCATCACAGCGTCTTATCACCACCACCATCATCAACATCATCATCAGTTTAACACGTAGGCTTTCGCGACCAATATCATCCATAATAGAGACGTCAATGTCTTCATGTATAGAGGAAACACACAGATTTACTCCCCTTGCTTACGGAGTGCAACGTTTCAGAATATGCCATGCACAGAGAGAGCTGTGAACACGGTCAGCATGCAAACAAACACTGGTGAATACGCAACTCTGAATAATTCAAAGCCCTCTGTCGATCCACTGCTGGATGAAGGCAAGTCGTTTGGCAGTGCTGGTCAGCGCAGAAACGGTGAACGAGAGTGCCCCAGGATCGGATGAATATATTATCACTTGCCGTGGCCGGGAATCGAACTCAGGTGCGATGAGTTACAACTTTGTTTGATAGCGTAACGCGCGGACCACTTGGGCCATGGAATGTGTTTAGGTGATCACTGCTGCCCCCATCGACAATAATAATCGGGCTTTGTCTGTAGGTCATGTCCTAGCTCACATCCCACTGTTAAGGCCGTGAACCTGTGCGCTCATTATAATTTAACTCACCTAAAAATATATATTTTACCAGGTAAGGCCGACTGAGCTATGAGTTTCCTTTCTGAAGTAACCTGGTCACAAATGATAGCTCAACGAAGTGGCTTATCATGTGGAAAGCTATAGCAGCCAAACACCAAACGCACGTTGAGTCTTAATGTGGAGGGGAAAAACCGGAGGACCCGGAAAAAAAATCCAAGCGACCACGTGGAAAGAGGGCGATAACACGCGGACTCAAAATATACAGGCATCAGGTTCGAGATCGAACCAACGACCTCCTGCACACCCGGCGAGGGAGTTAACATAGTGCGACCGTGGCGCTTTATAATTAAGACCCCCAACATATTCTTCAATTACATTGTAGCCTTAAAATAAAACTTATTTAATCGGTAAGGTTTCTATAAATGGTCCATTTTCACAGCACATTGCCCGAAACTTTGCCTATTATATATATTTAGTTTTATATATGTTACGTTTGAAGCCACAGTGTTATCGACGAATGTGTTTGTATTCTTTAACTTTTAAGTGTGCTCTTTGGTTCTTTTGGTAAAGTTACGTAGGTAGAAAAAAATAGTATCACAACGTTTCGATCGCCACACAAATTGTGACTTTCGCACCCTCGCCAAAGCAGCACCACCACCACCAAACAATGCGCGCAGCAGTGCCCATCATTGCAATGCTTCGACGCAATCACGCGTGCACACAACCGCATCAACAGTGAATGGTGGTGAGTGTGGGAGCGCCGCGTTGACCCTCTCAACAGACCACAGCCCTGCAATGTTCGCGGGTTGGAACAGAAATGATGGCTCCGCAATCAATGCCCGTTCCCCCGTGTCTCTCAGGCCCGTGTTAATCGAATGCTGGCTACCCCCGCTTTGTGCGGGTTCGCTTTGTGCGATTTCGCGTATATGCGAATACCCCAATTTCGCTCGATTATCCGGTTTGCATAAACTTTGCATGTGGCTATTCGGTCGGTCGTGGGACAACATCGTTTGTGTACTGCGTGTGCACTGGCTGTGCTCTGTGTGTACTGTGTGTGTACTGCGTGTGCACTGTGTGCGTACTGTGTGAGTGAAAAATTAACAAATAGGCGATCGTAACTGGCTGATGGGAATCCTATGAAACGTTCTTAATCTTTACTGCAGCCTCAATAGTTTAAAACAGTACCTTAATAAATACAATAGGGTTCTATGAAACAAAACAGTTGGACTTACCTGTTCGTGCTAAATTCGCGTTTTCGATTATTTACCTTCTGAAAAAAATCTGCCCACGTCTCGCACGCCCGCAGCGTGCATGCACCCCAGGTTAAGAGCCGCTGTTCTACGGTGACTAGAAAGCTACATTTGTGCACGAATACAGTCGACGTACCGCTTCTAATTGCCAGACTCAGAGGGTCAACATTTTAGAATGTTGATCTCCCCCAGAGATGTCGGGTCTCGCGCTGGATTCGTGTCATTGCCTTCCTGTGCGGGGCCGAGAGGGTGAGTGTTCTCTGACAGCACTTGCCCCCAGAGGTCCGCGCGCCTCTACGTGGGATCGTTGTGTTGTGTGTACACGCGTTTGTGTGTGTGTGTGTATGTACGGCCTTCAGAGGTGCTCGCTAACAGCACTTGGCCCAACGGTAAATTAAGGCTATACAGGGGATCTTTGTCTTTGCTCAGTATGTGCGGGGAGCGGTCGTGTAGCGGTCAGCACGCTGCGCTACTAACCCGGCGACCCGAGTTCGATTCTCACTCACGGCCGGTCCTGTGCCTCCCCTAGGTCGACTCGGCCTCAAATTAGTACCTGGTGCGAAGTGTAAAACATCGTCACTAGGGCGACAAAGGGGAACGGGCGTGGTGTTGGCCACACACCCCCTTGTGTCCCGTGCCGGCCTTCATGGGTACTACTCGCTCACAGCACTTGCTCAGACAGTCTCTGAAGGCTACATACAGGGGGGGGATCTTTGTCTTTGTGGAGAACCCGACCACGTGACTTCCATTCCTGCTCGTGGCCACCAACACCACCAGTGACCAAGTGCTGGTCACAGTCTGTCGAAGGCTGCACGGTGCTTTGTCTTTGTGAGTGAGTGGGTGAGCGGTGCACCCCTTTCTGCCTGCACCCCCCCCCACCCCCTTCCTCGTTTTTGTTGTATTACCTGGGAATACTTCAAGTCGCCATCGCCACCGCCCGACTTGTCGAGGCCGTTGGCCGCCTGCGTGCCCGCGGGGAAGCTGGGCCGGGCAGCGCCGCACCACTCCTCCGGGATGAGCCCTGCACGGGGGTGGGGGTGAAGGGTGGAGCGGGGGAGGGGAGGGGTGGAAGTTGGGGGGGAGGAAGAGACCACAGAGAGACGCAAGCGTTGTGATGGATGGTGGCCGCAGTGGTTCGTTGTAGCACATCGCACTGCTGACTCGCGCCATCCCAGTTCGATTTCACGCTCACGGTCGATAAAGAGTGAACCTGTCCTGCCCCCGCCTTAGGTAGCCTCAGCGTTAAATGAGTACCTGTTGTGGTGTGTGCACATCAGAACTCGGGCGTGGTGTGTGAGTCACCCACCACATCCGTGTGCTCGTTCACAACACTTGCCCCAACAGTGCGTTCAAGGCTATACGGGGGATCTTTGTCTAATATCATTTAGTATGACTTTATTAGCGTCTTATAATCAGTGGAATACACGATGCGTACAGTTGAGCGCGTTTGAGTGATCGATGCCAAATTCGAATTATGTTTTAGACGAACCAAACATATTCTATGGGTCTTTCGGTAAAGCCACGGAGAGAGAAAAATATCTACGTGGCTTTACCGAAAGACCCATAGAATATGTATTCCTGCAGTCACGAAAGCTTTAAGGCAAGAAAGAACCAAACATTTGAATATGTTGGAATAGTCAGAAAAACAAACCAATTTTTTTGCATTTTGACCCTTTGGCTGATTGATTTTACTCACGGGAGATTCTCCGATTCGAGGATGTAAATCGGTTTAGTTCTCACGGTGAGCACAGAGTGACGCGATCTCCATCATCAGCTAACAACGAACAATTTCTCCTCCGGTAGAGTGTGACGCGAAAGACGATAAAAAGCGCATAGACAACACGAAGTGCATTCTTACAACCAACACAATTCTAGGTCTAATTACAAATCCGCACATTGATTTACTGTCACTCAGAGGGATGACGTTAACAGCCGATGTGACGTTCGAACGCGCTCAGACATTATAACGTTATTACTCATCGGCGTTTACATTGTGAGCAATCACACCTTAAGTCCACGTGGTTACGACGAAGACAATAATCACGATGATGCTGACCCATGCTGATTGTCAATAATTAAACGTCGCGTTCGTGACACTGAATATAACCGGAGGTTTGCAAGCTTCATTGCGCATTGCCCTACTTAAATTGTAACCGTCTTGGGTGTAATTGGGCAAAGACAGTTGCAGTGTTCGCGAATGCTACTTAACGTCTATCTGAGCTGATCAAAGAGCGGCGTAATCCTTTAACGCCAATAAATAACGAACGGACAGGATTCCCCGTCACTCCGATGTCATTAAATGTATTTATATATTTATTTTATTTATTTACGTCAGTCGACCTCTGGAGCCTTACGGACCCATCGGTTCCATTGCTCCTCAACCAAGATACGCTGAGACACTTTTTTTTGCAATTAAACCAAAACGCGCATCCCACAGAGAGAGAGAGGCGAGACGCTCGGGAGGGTTTTGATGCCAGGCAAATGCCCAACGAGGAGGTGCCCGTCTCCTGGTTACAACCTTGGGCCCGTGGTGGACATTCCACGTTACTTTGGCCGAGGAGAGTCTATCCAAAGCCACGGTTGACTTCTCTCCACAGAGCGGTACATATTTCATCGAGCGCACCCCCCCGCCCCCCTCGGAGGGACGAATGATGGGCTGAGTGAATCCCCAACCAGGATTTGAACTCGCGACCTCACGTTCGTGAATCGCTCGCTAACCGCAAAACCACGTGGCCGGGTTGTTGACGAGCTCGAGCGAGAACGGTGGCGCGTTGGTTTGCGCCATGTGCTGCTACGAGCCCGACGACCCGAGTTTGATTCCCAACCACGGCTAACATCGGTGGCGAGTGATACATCTGTACCCCGATCCTGTGCATCCGCTTTACCCACACCGCACTGATCAGCGTGGTGAAGTATGGTCGCGCAGAGTCCTTCATCCAACAACGGTGGATTGACAAAGGGGGCCGTAAATGGCAACATGATTACGAAGGACCAATAGTCTGGTAATGGTGCCGAGGCTTTGACACGATGGCTCTCTGCTCCAGCCCCTCGCTGGAGCCTCACGAGACGCAAGACAGCCGTGCCGTGTCGCGGTTTGCTCCCAGCGGCCGTCTCCGCGGATTTCCCGAGCGGCCGAACAGCGTGGCGTTATTCAGCACTCGCTACGTCCGACCTCTCGGTCACTCTCCCGAACAAGCTTCTGCACCAGCACGCGGGACGAGCGGAACGTCGGACATCGAGTCGCCGAGGGGGACCCCGGGGGGCGCGGGCACACGCGCGCGTGCGCGCTGTGAACTCGGCGAGTTTGATTTACGCTTCGTCTCTGTCGGTTCAATATCTGTACACCGCGAGTACTCTGACTGCCTCGCGCTGTTAGCCTTGCCCGTGTCCCCTTGCGAGCGAGCGCGCCTGTGTGTGTGTTCGTGCGTAGGTGCATGGGGAGCGGTTAGTGCGTTGCGCTACGAAGCCGGCAACTCGAGTTCAATTCCAGCTCGTGGCCAACACCGGCGACGATTATCTGAATCGGTCCTAGGCGTCGCCTAGGTCGACTCAGCCTCAAATTAGTACCTGGTGCGGTATGTAAACATCGCCACGAGGGAGACAAAGGCGGCCGGGCTTGGTGCTGGCCATCCGCCGCCTCGTTTGCTGTTCCAGCCTTCATAGGCGCTCACGAACAGCACTTGCACCAATAGCCTGTTAATGCTATACGGGCCATCTTTGTCTTGTGTGTGTGCATCATGGGAACTCGCTAAGAAAACTTGCACCAGCAGTCTGTTTAGGCTGTACCGGGAGGGCTTTGTCTTTGCTGTTGTGTTAATGGGGGAGCGGTAATATGGCGGTTAGCGCATTGCGCTAAAAGCCCTGCATCCCGAGTTTAGATTTCGAGTAATGGTCAACGTCAGTGGTAATATTTGTTTTTATCTTAATCGGTCCCGCGGATACAAATGCTTGCTTGCTTTTATATACGCACCGCGCATACCGTATATGCGCAGTGCACATGTGCCATTCATCTCAGTCGGTTCAACCGTGACGCCTCCTCCTGCCAGCAGCAGCGAGCCTTCGACACTTCAAGCTACGGCCTCAAGGTGCCACCATTCCTGAACACTGGCGCTAAGTGGCGACGTTGGCGCCAATTAGCGGCGAACGGCGGCTGCTCTTGTTGTTGGGGCACGCACGCGCACGCTCGTACGCACGCACACACATACGCACGTGCGTATGTGCGTGCGTGCGTACGTGCGTACACGTTAGTACGCACGTGCGTACGTACGCGTGAGAGCTGTCGAGGGCCTCGCAAGTCGCTTTAAAACAGAGACACGATTCAGCCATAATTACATTTTCCCCCAAGTCTTCCACAGGGAAGCGACATTAGCGGTATAGCCGTGCTGCTGCTGCTGCTGATGATGATGATTACCGCACCAGTTCGGCCCGCTCAGTGCGGAGCGGTGCCGCGTTGGGCCCAGCGCCGGATGATTTAATAACATCTCGGTGCTCGCGGGGGAATCCTCGCCGGAGCCAGTTTTCAAACAGCTGCTATCTGCGTGAAATTCATCGTCCCGCTCGCAGAAGCTGCGTCTCGCGGTCGCTGCTGGCCCATCCGTTGAGCGAATGCCGCGCGCGCGCGCGACTAATCCATGCAGCGCATTCGCAGAGTACGCGGCAGAGACCACCCAATATCCCGCCGCCGCCTGCCCTACACAGCGTTCCATTCTACGCCTGCGTATGCGGCCAAACGTTGAGGAGGTGGATGCCAAAGTCGAGGTCTGATAGAGGCTTTAACAGAATTGTTGGGCAAGTGCTGTGATGTGGTCAAGCACCACGCCCGGCCGCCTTTGTCTCCCCCGCCCGTGCCAGGGCACTCACGGTGCAGGCTGAGTCTGCCTGAATGCCCCCAATCTCGTCTGAACTGGAAAGCTGAGCAGGGCTAAAAGCGTGGACGGTACTGTACGTGAATGTGAGAAACGGTTCGGAATTACCAGGTTGTATAGGCTTGGTATGGGAGGTGGCGATGATGGAGGTGGTGTGGTGCCAGCCCTGTTTGACCAAACATCCCAATGTGGCAGGGCCCTCTTGCCCAAAGAGTCTTCAGACTCAGTGAGACATTGCGGGGGGCGAATAAAGTGCTTCGTTATTATTGGTGTTGTTAATTTTGCAACAAAATTATCTGCAGGTGATTCCTCGTGATTGTGTTCGTTGACTAACCCGCGATCCGGCCAATGCTTTGCAACACCTAAAAATTCACCGACACATTTGCAATTATTATCTCAACAGAACGATATCGTAGCGGCAATAATGATAACTAACCATAACGACCACCTACCGCTGGACGGAGGGCTTTCACGCACCGCGTCAGGTCGTGGAGATTGTTTGACCATACTTCACCACGCTGGTCGGTGCGGTGTAGGTTTAAGGAATCATCCCTGCCTCAACACACTGTACGCACTTGTTTGTTCAGCTCATTGCTTTGTTCAAAGAAACTGGGTTCGCACTACGCTCGAAAAATAATGGGCGACTGGGTTCGGCATATCCACTGCATCCAGTACACCAACATTTGCCATTGTATTATTATTGTTGTTGTGCTGTATCATGTCACAACCGTCACTGCCAGCCAGCCTGTTGGAGAGCAGGCACCTGCCGGCAAGAGCGGTATCATTCTAAACCCGAAGAAATGTCTGTTCGTTCATAATACACATCCTCATCAGCCACGCTCAATACACTGCTGGATGCACGTGACCATCCACCGGCCCGTCCCTCAGGACGTGATGTCCTTTCAGCCAGCCAGGAATACTTCTTTTGTTTTGGTAACATATATATGGAATGCAGTATATAAAATATAGAATCATTGTGCGTCTGTAAATTGACATTTAACTCCACAAATATGAAACACGACGCAGGATGTGTGCATACTGGATAACTACGTAGCATGCAATACCCAATAGACAAACACTGCGGGTGGGTGGGTGTGGGGGAACCACATGTTAACAATGGTAAACATTTCTACCAGTTATTCAATTACATATTTGG